TCACAGTTCAAATGAAGGATAGCCTTTGCACGTACATATCTAAATATGTATGCGGCGGTGGGTATGACATTGCGACATGTCAACAACGCCTAAGAGAAGTGTGTGTCGACATTTCATTTCATTTCACACTTCGTTCATTTGATTTAAATTTAATTGAAATTACTTATATTACAAATTTTGTCGCCACGTTTATGTGACGGGAACTGTTGGCCGCCCTAAGAAGGGCGTTTCCAGAGCACACGACGAGGACGTCGCTCCCTCGTGCTCCACGCGGGCGGGCCTCCACTCTCGCCCGAAGGCGTCCGCGGACGTCTACCTCCCGCCGACCGAGAAAACCCTGCCCACGTCGCCGCCTCTGCAACCGCGTTCCCCATGGGGGCTCGTCTTACCCTCGCCTTACGAGGTGGGAGTGCACCCGTAAATCGGCCCCCATTAAGGCTTCGAACTCGGGAACCCGGCCAGCCCCAAGGGGAGTGCAAGCTAAAGAGCCCGGTCACCCAAGGGTTGGAGGTAGAGAGCCCCTCTCACTTGCCTAGCGCCACCACGCATTTTGGCAAGCCCCGCCGGCTCCCCACCCGGTGAGTCTGCTTAGTGGGCGGAGTGTTGGAGGGGGACTTCCCGTAAGGCTCTCCCCTTACAGCATTGCTCCCCCGGACTACCCCTCCAACGGGAAGAGAGTCGGATCACCGGCCGAAGCCAGTGGTGGGCCCGACTCCCCAGAGAGGCAGGGCGGCCCAAGGGCGCAGCTGCAATGGGGAGCTCACCCAGGGACATGTCCGTCCCCCGCGAGCTCCGCCCGCAGACTGACAAAAAATTCACGCGCAGCTCCTTTTATACCCTTCGGTGCCATACCTATCTATGTTATAGTCAAAGGCATACCTACTTGTGTTATACGGCTGACACGCGCATAACCGCTTATCACACTACTTACATACACACGTATACCTACACATGTGTCATAGCTATACGCGTATAGCCACTTATCACACACACGTAGGTATACATACATATGTCATAGGCTATAACACGTGAGATAAGCCGCTATAACTTATAGCGGCTTATCTCACGTGTTTACAATTGTTTACGAATAATTCAATTAATTATTTCGACGTCGTTAGCGTTGGGTAAATGTCGATTCTTATAGTTTTTTGGTCGCTGATATCGAATCTGAGGTCAGTTTTTCGATTGGAACATCGTGAGAAGGGGCACATGGCCAATTAATTATGTTAAAATAACACAAGATTATTAAGCTACAAATATAAGGCTGGATTAGTATGAATAAATTAGAAGTTTGCATAAATTCATGTAACTCTTGTCAATCAGAGAGTTGGACATGCGAACGTTCCATCACTGCATCTGCCACCTTGTGATCATTTGTGCAATAATCTACATGCCAACTGCATCTTCTTCGCCTCCTCACTCTTCGTCCACTCAAAGTTAGTCACCATTTTGTCCTCACCGAAGAAGAAAACTGCCTCTAGTAAAAAAAAGTTGATATCGAAGCGTTGGTTATCTTTTTACGAGCCTGTCGACAAAAACTTGAAGGAACATAAAACTTGAAAGAAGGTTTGCTAAGGAAAGGAAGAAAATAATACTCGGTGTAGGTCAAAATGCTAAATAATTATTCATCAGTTTGTAACTGGAGTTAAATATCACCATTTCTTTTCTTTCTTGTTTTAGCAACAACGTACGACGACTGATTACGCCGAAATGTTGCTTGATAAGGATTTGGACACTCTTAAGTGGTGCTATCCGGATCGTCCATTGATGATCAATAAGATGTACTCATACAAATTGCTCAGAGCAGTAAGCCCGGAAAATTTTTCAATCATCGTGATGGATTACACTTCCGTGGTGATTCAAAGGCAGATTAAGGAGGCAATGGATCTTCATTTGCACAACATTGCCGGTTGTGCACCGGTTGACGTTGCTTGTCTGAAGGACGGACTTCCTGTAACTGTCAAATTTGAGGATGGGTATGATATGATAATGAATGGGATTTATGTCATTGCTAATAAGCATACGATACGATTACGATAAAATAATAACTATATTTTGTATACTTCATAGGAAACTTCACCGAGCAGAGGTCAATTTAGTTGACGAGAAGGGTGTGAACGTATATATGGTGGATTCAGGAGTGGATATTTTAATCTCGGCAGATTCCATATATCCGTCGTCAACTGAACTTTTGCGACTTCCGAAGCTTTCGCTAATGTGCCGTCTTGCTCAAGTTGTCCCATTTGAGGAAAAGGAAAAGTGGAAAAAGTATGACTACAAGTCGCTGTTCCAAGGGAAGAATACATCCGTGTTCTCAATTTCTCTAATTGACCGTGGAGTCTCTGAAGTTCGGCTCACGTGTGACAAGAAGGATGTTGGATTCGAAATGGTTATGAATTTGGGTTTAGCTGATTTTGTTCCGCTAAGTACTCATGCCACCAATGATGAAGGTAAAACATTTCCAATTCATTAACATAGTATTGATTGACTTCAATTAATTAGCTAATAAATCAGATCGTGCGATATTACTATTGGATTAGATATTAATATATTGTAATTTATTTTGCATAATTTAGGACCACAAATGCTTGGAAAGTATCCTCGATATGATTACAGTGATTGGATTGGACAGAAAATCGGAGTCTTTGGGACAAAGGTTTCAAAAGTGGGATCGAATTTCAAAGTTCATCTTCAGCTGCATCCATCTATAATGGAAGCTGTTGATGCTGGATTGTTGAAGTATGACTCTACTTCCAATGAGGTAAGTAATATTACTCCCTAGTCACTGCGAAGTGAAGACCGCATTGTACAAACGTAAAGTTATTTGCACTTTCTTATCACTCAATTAAATTTGTGTTATTAATAATGTGTACTTTTCTAAAAGGCGAAGGACTTTTCAAAGGATATTGGCGATGCTGTTCTTGTTGCGTTTGGCGAGGATAGAATGAATTATCGAGCTACAATTATTCAAAAGTCGACAGTCGGATACTTGGTGAAACTGGTAGATTATGGAGATTTTGTCAATGTTCAGGAAAAAGACGTAAGTTTTAATGGTAGAAACTCTAATCAACTCTGAGTGATGACATAGTTCATGCCCCATTAAATCCTCACAAATTATGTTCTAGATGCTCAAAATTCCGAATGAACTCGTTGAGATTCCTGAAGCAGCCACACCCTGCTATTTAATTGAACTATTGGCAGCGGACCCGAGCAAACTTCCTTCAGATGAAACTAAGGGCAAATTGATGGAGTTGATTATTGAAAAAAATCTGGAATGCTACATTAGTCATGTAAATTTCATTGATGACGTTGATCCCCGAGAAATTCGAAAGTAAGATAGGGAAGTAGAGATTTATTTATTTTATTTAAACTGCGTTTTAACCTTTACACTCATCTCTCCTTCCACCAGGTGTGTAGTGACCCTCGCTTCAGAAGAAGGGACGCCACTTCTTGACGATTTTGGCCTAAGAAAGCCAAACCTCTGCAAGTACTATACAAACGTTGACCACGAATTTCCAATGATCGACCAGGATCTTGCGAAGGAATTATTTAGTGGCCCCTCAGCATACATGTCGGGAGTTCAATATGAAGGAGTTGTGTCTTTCATAGAAAATTATGACTCGATTTGTATTCAGCTAGAAGGTGACGACCATCGAGCAGATTTAGTAAGTGAAGAACTGACCCAATTTTTGAATAATTGGAAAAATGTCCCTCAACTGGATCCTTCATCTCTGATCAATGGAACTTACGTCGCGGCCAGGCAAAACATTGAAGATGATTTACGCTACTATAGAGCTAAAATTTTAGAGGCTTGTCCAGACAAAGACGAGTACAAAGTAGTTTTTCTGGATTATGGAAATTATGATGTCATTACTTCTACAATGATAAAACCCCTCCCGTCTTACTTTTGCAAGGACAAAGCGTTTGCTCTTAAAGTGTCAATCCCAATCGAAATACTCCCCGGTGTGAGTGAAGACGAGGTCTATCATTATGTTGAAAAGTTTACAGAGGAACAAGAGCTTACCGTGTATCTCAAAACTGTGGATAATTTAATTTATGCTTGGATCATGGGTAGGAACAAGATGCTTACAACATCTTTGATCGAGAATAAGAGTAAGAATCCCCTCGTCCAGCTTATCTTTCCAACCCCAATTATTCCATTGAAAAATTAAAATAACACAAAAAATCGTTAGTTTTTCTAGGAATTATGATAATATTTTTATTTTAAATTTAGTGATGGTTTGTTATCCATTCTTTGGATATTTACTTTATTACTTTCTGATCAAGATTTATATATTTTGCACACTCTTTGTTAAATTCTCCTATACATTTACAAAATAAATGCAACCTCCATGCAAAACTAAAAAAATTCTTTAATCTGACTTCAATTGTTGGGTCTGATGTGCATCTGCATAGCAAATTTCATGCTTCTATCTACCTTACATGTAAAATAAATTGCTATTTATTTTATCTATTATAAATTAAGTTCAAAATTGCAGTCTGCAATTTGTAAGATCTGCTGCTTTTGAACCCTATCACCTAAACCAGGGGCGGGGGAAGTTGGGGGGACATATATATGAGGACATTACCATCGTGAGATAGGAGGACGAGGGCTTATTATTATAATGTAGGGAAGAGTGGATTTTTCTGAATTTCTGAGAGGGGGCACAAACAATGTCCCCACCACTGCCCCTTTTCTGGGATCTTCCAGAAAGAATCCCAACCAATGTGGTGTCTCATTTTCACCTTAACCGGCTCATTTTTAAGAATGTTGATTGCGTAAACACAGGAAGTAATTTTTTAGTTTGTCAATGAATTGTGATGACGAGAAATTAAATTCGGAAGTCGGAATGACTCATAATTTGTAAAATTGATTAATGGGTTAGTTTAGGCGTCATTTGATAAATTTGTGTCCAAAAGGGATGCAATGTAAGGCGGGTGATGCCAACTTTTGTTTTGCATTGGTTTTGTATCATTTGACTTGCCAGCTGCGTGGTGACGGACCTGTTCCAACTTTCCTGAAAATCTGCAGGGCAATCGAACTCGTCAAATCGCTTCCAAGAGCAGAATTCTCAACTTTCTCGGGTGAAGTGACGTTTACCGACTCGTTCCAAGTTCAAACTCTGCCAAGTCGCACAGTAACAAGTAAGCGATCAAGTTATGTCTTGTCACGTAAAAAGTGACGAGGAATTTGTTGAAAAGTATGCAAATCGTGTTACCAATCTGCAAGGAAGTTCAACTCGGCAAATCGCATCTCGTCGCAAAATCTCTCTTCTTCTGCTCGACTGATGAGATTCAGGCTGATTCCAATTTTAAAATCTCACGATTTTGGAAAACACTGCACTACAGTCCAAGTTGCCAGCTCCACTTGATCCCACACCAGACCAACAATTAATAACTCCTCGACATTTATCCGTCAACGTCCAAGTTAGTCGGGTAAGTTTTTTAGTCTTTAAATCAATACTCTTAAATTACGACTATTGAGAGTCTTAATACATTATAGGTGGCTAATTATGGTTAATTATTTGATTAGTGCAAGAAGAAGGGTTTTCAGTTGAGTTGGTAGGAAAACAGGAAAGATGGCACATGTTCCACTGTCCCCACGGTCGTTTCGAAAGGTGCAGGTTAAATGGCATACCTGGCTTGAAGAGAGACTTGCTATCAGAGCGGCGGAAGCAGGAGAGGTCTTCGTGCCAACCCCACTTCCAGAACCAAATTATGAAGAAGCCGTGAGTCCTCCCATGGCTCCCATAGACCTTTCACCCCCACACGAGTACATTGAAGATGAACCAAGACGAGTGGAGAACGAGGAGGAGGTCGTTCTAGCTCATCCGCCTGGATCACTCTCGCCCAGTTACGATGAGCTGTTTGTGGAAGTAAAGCAGCCTACGCCGGTGAAAAGGTGCTCCCCGTCAACCAACTCGCCAGTGGCATCACGAGTAGTGAGCTCTCGTCGAAACAAATCTCCGAGGGGGACAGCAGAAAAAAGCGAGGAGGAAGCTGCCGCTTCTTCAACGGCCGGTCCAAGATATGGAAATCGAACCCGTCGCCGACCTCGAGTAAAGAATGTGGAAAAGAAGAAGGATGACAACATTCGGTCAAGATCACCTGTTCGCAAGGAGAATTCCGTCATCCCTTTGAAGAAAAGAGGTGCCTTGAAGAAACTCAAAACAGTGTTGGATGTCAGCAGTGAGAGTGAGTAGATATTTTTCTTTCGTCAAATTTGTTTTCGTCACCCGCAATTAATTTGGGTTTGAATCGTGATGATCTTCTTCCAGGCGAGAAACCCCAGGATATCGAGAGCATGGAAGGCACGATTGAAGGTTTTTGACAACGGTTAGCATCCGAAAGTAAATCTTTCTAAAAAATTGTCTTGATTGTATTTCAGCTCGGATGGCTGCCGGTGCTATTGGAATGGGAGACGATGAACAGGGTGGTGAAATAGAGGAGCATGACGACCACGGTAAGTATTTCCAAGTCAAACCATTGCATTGTGAGGGCGAAAATTTAAACTTCTTCTAACAATGGGGCAAACCATGTTCAACTCAAATTACTTTTTGACCTCCTCGGTATAAAAGACCAAGTCGTTATAAACAACATTTAGTGCGCCTAATTAAGAGCGTTATAAAGATAATTATGGGCGTCGCAAAGTCCTCAAAATGCTCAGTTTTCACGGGGAATCAATACACGAAAAGTCTGAGCTGCTGCGGCAAGGCACAGAAAACCACGCGTTTTCACGACCTTGCAGCGCACCCGTAATGCTCTGAATTTTGTACAATGTCGCCTTAAATGTTGTTTCTATAAGGTTGGTCTCTCAATCTGAGCGGCTAAAAAAATCAATAATCTGGATTGAAAATGGTTTGCGTCCCCATTATAAATATACATTTCTCTAATTCTTAGCTCGGGATCGCGAAGCTGACGAAATTCCAAAGTATGTGGCAGAGATGAAGGGTCATCTCACGCGACTAACCAGCAGCCTTGCTGGCGACGAGGGTAGAGTAAAGTCTTTCCACCGCCTCTTGGTGCGCGAGCTCCTCCCCGCCATGACCTTGCCGGAGCTGAAACTTGATTTGTGGCAGGTCTTGGTCGCCGTAACTGAACAGCCCTGATCCAGCCGTCGTCCGTTCCAGAAGAAGTTTAAACTATTTCAGAAACTAGTCAACTTTTTTTTGACATTTGTTAATTATCTATTGGTAGATAGTTAAAGGATTAATTAATCAAACATTATTAAGTAACCAATTCCAAATTAAATATCTGGAGTTCTTAATTAAAGATTAGTAATTCCTACTAAAAGCTTGTAGTACAATTATTTGAGGTTGTGTTAGTATAGCAAATGTGATATATTAATTATAATACAAATTGGAGATTATAATATAAATTGGAAACCAGTTTATATTAACTGATATTTGTTGACATGTTAATAAAGGATTACTTGACTTGACTTGATAATATTTATATTACAATTATACTGATGGTTTACAAAAAAGTGGTCTCTTGTTATGTTAATAAAAATTGTGTCACATGCTGGAAATTATTTATTGTTAAGAAATTGCATCTTATTTCCAGTGGCTGGCAAGTTTTAATGTTAGAAGAAAAAATAACAAAAATATTATCGTGGGAAGTTATGTTAAAAAATTATAGCCGATTATCAATTATCGTCGCCAACATGCAGGAAGCATAAGCATCACACCACGCAGAGGACGCGGAAGTGTGGGGCATAAGAACAATGTCCCCACGGAAATTTTGAAAGATGGGAATGACGGCTCCACCAGGGATGACCAAAATATTTTGTACACAATTTAATACAGCATTTTTATCTCCGTTCTTTCCAGATTTCCAAGGTTGTTACACCCATAAAAAGGGAGAATACAGCAGTCATACGAAAATACAGGTTTTATGAAGAAATTAACTTTTTATATATACCTGCCAATGCTATCAAACTACTTTATTTTTAGAAAAGCATGAAATAATGTATACAAAAAGCTTCATCCGTAAGCTAAACAGTAAAACAAAGAAGTTTTCATGCGACTGAACGACGAGGATGAAATGAGATATGTGAGAACCCGGTTGGTTTGAGATCCAAATCATAATAATTCCTCGAAAAGCACGTGCTGCTGAAGAACTCGATTCTGCTACTGAAGTCAATTAATTAAGTCAGTTTCGATAAGTCGAGATAGGCCGGAAATAATATTTGCGACCAACCCAAGATGGAGGAGGCCCCTCAGCAGAAAGTGAGCTTTATCCCCTGCCTCACCTGGGTCAGGCAAGGTATCGGTCACGCCAAGGTGCAGAAGGTGAGAAATAAGCTTTAACTTTAACTAAATCCTTTATTTATTATCCTTTATTTCAATATGCTTAGAATTTCGACATAATTTATTTCAGGTCAACCCGACAAAAGAAGAGTTACAGGAAATTATGAAAGAGATGAAACTGAGAGAGTGAGTGAAATTCAGGTTTATTTGACTTAATAATGCAGAACAAATTGTTTAGCCGACAAGGTTTGTTTAATTGTAAAATTGCTGTTTTTAGGGCAGAGTTTAAGGGTCGACCTGGTTCTGGTGGTGACAAGGAGGAAGACAGCGGAAGTGATGCAGAAAATAAGGACGTCGACGACTATTACGACATGGATGATTATGACGATGAAGTCGTAGGACCACCCGGGATCACCATTGATATGAATTCCATGCTCAACAATGAAGATGACGATTCTCCAGATACGGACGATGAACCGGATGAATTTGTCGTCAAAGATGATGATAACCTCATCCTGTGTGGACATGTTGATGGAGATGTGTGCATGTTAGAAGTTTATGGTGAGGCGAAGGCACTGCTTTTTGGTTAAAATTGTTTTAAAAGTTATCAACGTAGGAGTCGATGACCATCGTCAAAATCAGCAATTTTTTAATCATTTCTCTGCTCTTGGGATTTACTTACAAGTTCTGGGCTAGAAATTTGTAGATCAAGTCGTTGTTGCTAATGTTTTAAAGATATACACTCCAGCAGATTTTGACAGTTTTCGAAGGAGGAGATCGGAAGTTTAAGAAGCCTTCAGAAAAACTGGAACTCATCGAAACTGGCTAAAAAAAACTAACCGCTATTCCATTAATCAACTTAATACAAATTTGTCGTTCAGAATTAAAACGCAAATTCCCAGAGCAGAGAAATAATTAAAAATGTGTTGATTTTGGTGATAAGTCATCGAGTCCTAGATTAAAAACTGGAATCTGAATTCTATTAATTCTTTTAGAAGTCATCGAGTCGTACATTACTATAATAATAATAATAATAATAATAATAGCCTTTATTATCCTCATTTACTAGTACTAGGGAATGCACAAACAATGAATTTAGCATAGCACACTAGCCTATTTTCGTGAGCTTACATCCTATTTAAGCCATTACTACTACCGTCAACGACGTCAAATTATAAATTTAACTAGATGAACAAAACAAAACTAACTCGCTACCTACTGGCGCGACTATGTTGGTTGCATACCAAGACTAGTAATGTTAAAACTACTAATGATTATGTTTTTTTCCTTAGTGTTCAACAATGCGAAGGGAGAACTTTTCATCTTGAATGACATGTTCCTCCCCAGCTACCCAATCTGCATTGAATGGATGAACTTCAACGCCAAGAAAATGGACCAGCCAGGAAATTATGCAGCCGTTGGGTGTGTCACGCCGGAAATTGGGGTTTGGGACTTGAACATTAGTGGCAGTTTGGAACCTGCATTTAAATTGGGGACGCGTAAAAAGAAGACGATGCGTCATAATGATGCCGTTTTGGATTTGTCGTGGCATAGAGATAACAGGTTTGTCTGGTTGAATATGGTTTTTAATTGGATATTCAATACATAATGTTAATATAACTCACATTTTCATAATTTTAATTTTACCATTTGCTCTAGAGCTGTTTTGGCCAGTGGATCAGCCGATAAAACGGTAATAATTTGGGACATGGAAAAAACCCAAGGCCTCACAAGAATTGACTCATTCGAGGAGAAAGTACAATCAGTGGAGTGGCATCCTTCCGAGGTTCAGTCGCTTTTGACGGGTTGCTGTGATGGGTACGGCGGCACACACACATTAAAAACGACATTCGAAAAAATGTTAGTGTAACTTTATATCCTTTATTAGAAAAGTTCGGCTGTACGATACTCGAAATCCTAAACATTTCAAGACATGGGGCTTTGAGGGTGAAATTGAACGTGTTCTTTGGAATAATTTTGACCCTTCTTACTACTTTGTAAGAAACGTTTAATTGTCTTCTTTAAATTTGTTATCTAAAATTAAACCCCATTAACTATCCTGTTCCTGCTAAAGGCTACAACCGATAGTGGAATGGTGTATTATGTCGATACTCGAAATACGAAGCCCGTCTGGACATTGAAAGCTCACGACAAGGAGGCTACCGGAATCTGTATGAGCAGTCAGTACAAGTGCGTTGGACTTAAAATGGAAGTCTCCCAGCGTATGATCTCCGATTTTGAGGAAACTAGTGTCAGTTGATGGCAAATTTAATTGATATTGGAAATTTGCAAACTGCACGATCTCCCAATCTTCACGTCACGTCACGTCAGATATATTTGCATCTGAAGAGAGGAAAACGCGCAGTAGATTTTGAAAGTGTAAAATTTGTCAACGTTTGGGCTCGTTTTCTCCTCTTCAGATGAAATATCTCTTCGAAACATGCGCATTGAGAGGTCATGTTTTGTGCAAATTTCATATTAATTGAATTTGTCATCAATTGACACTAGTTTGGTCAAAACCTGAGAGCATACGCCAGGAAACCTCAATTGTTAATGCGTTAATAATTAATAGTATTTAATGTAATGTTTTTCATCCTGCAGGGACATGCTCATGACTGCTTCGATGGATGAATCCGTAAAAGTTTGGGATCTTCAAGGCGGAACTCCAACTTTCGTGGCTCAGAAGAACATGGCAATTGGTCAAATTTACGCCCTTTCTGCATGTCCTGATGTACCCTACGTATTTTGTGGGGGTGGATCCAAAAAAGATAATCATTTATATGTATGGGATTCCAGAGAGAATAATACAGGTAATAAAATTTCTTAAACAAAATTGAAGTCTACAGAAAATTTCCTTTCATAAATTTAACCATGTTATTCATTATTTAGTTTCGGAACGATTCAAAGGAAGAAAGATGCAAAAACCCGTCGCAAACAGGATGGACGTTGATGATGACGACGATGCCGACGACCAACAGCCTTCTACATCCCGCTCCTCCAATAACAAATTTGTCGATGGCAGAATAAACGTTAATCCACGGTCCACCAATTCTAAACAGTTGGTAAATGCTGTGCACAAGGCGTCCAAAAAGAATAAAAAGAAAAAGTCGCATAAAGCAATGCACCCAAAGACGACGAAGAAAGACGAAGAGTCGTAATAACTTTTAACAACGTTAATTCATTGTCACTTTCCGTATTTTTCTTACTATTGTTATGCTATCATTCATTATTGTACGTTATCCACAAATGATATATGATTTAAAATAAAGTTGACACGAAAACAAGAACTCTGGTGTCGAAAAATTTATTGAATTTCACGCGCTCAAAGTCATCAACACAATTAAAAATCAACATGCATGAATACCTGCCGTCGATGGAAAGATAATAAAACCTTAAGAAATTTCCCCCTTTATATTTTTTCATATGTAAAATATAATAAATAAAAATAGGAACATTCAACATCTAAAAACCCTTCAAGATAAAATCACACCATTTCAAAATATGTATATCTATGTAGCACTATTTACATTATAAAAACGTCTAAAATGAAATAATTACAGTTTGTAAGCAAATTAGACGACGACTCAAGCGGTGGAAAATTGACTGATCTACTTAACCCATTTAAAGTTTTGCTACAAGGACACTTTTTTGCTGCCTTGTTTCACACAAGAAAAAGTACAAGACAAAAAACATCATCTATTTTGTATCACGAGCAACAACAAGAATTTAATAAGGACGACAAAATGTGCAGATGGCTTGGCAAAACGCAGATGAATTTAGGGAAGCATTTGAACCTTCTTATCAATTCTTAATCAACAAACGATAAAAAATTTATATGTATACAGAGAGAAGAACCCTTATTAAGATATGCCTCAAAATAATTGTTTAACTAATTAAATAATTGTTAGTTGTCCTTTTCGCCCACTTCCAACGACCTGGCCAAAGATGGAAATCGCGATAACCACTGAAGTCTCTGAGGTAGTGCGCGTTTGTCCTGATTCAGTGTGGAAGCATGACCAAAGGGGATGAGCTGCTTTTGGAAGGCAGAAGCTACCGTAAATCGAAGCATGACACAGCCTAGAAAGACACAAGATCGATATACACTTTTGCAAACGTCGAATCCACGCTATGAGTATTTGTAAATGTGTGTAAATTTACCTGATGGGTTAACATCGACAGTGATCTTGTCATCGGGGGAAAGAATGCCATAGTCTTTATTCGTATAGAGATCTTCCACCCTGTAACCGGCTTCATGAGTGAGACCGAGCTCTCTATTGATCACAGAAACTTCGGAAGGCGTTCCGTCCGTTCGTCTGTTAAGGAATACGATCGCGTATGAAAAATCGGCTCGGACGACGGGAGTGATGGGACGGGCCCAAATTTCAATTCCGCGATCCTAAAAACAAAAGTAAGTTAGCTTTCTGAAATGAAGGATTCCTTCTTAAGTTTCATTGTACTTTGTAAATTCTCCTGCCCTGAATGCCCAAAATGTCTTGATTGACCGCGATAATTTTACGATTTTGAAGAATTGCTTTGTAGTCTGGTTTAATCGTTCGAAGATCAACGGACATGAGGAGGGGTGAAGCCCAAATTGCCCAAAGTGCGAATTGCGATTTACTTTGTTCAAAACTGAGCCCAAAGTTTCCAACGATTAACTAGAAGAGGGAACAAGATGGAAATTAAGACAATATTGGTGCCACATACATTTATTTCTGGCTTCAAATATATGCATATGTATATATAGTACCATATCTGGATCATTCCAATGCCCAGGACCAGCATTGGGGACGATGGCATCTTGGTTTTCGCCATAATAATCGATAATCGTTTGAATACTTTGCCAAGAGTCCTGAATATCGTCGAAATTACGCCATAAATTGCAAGCACCTTTAATAGCGGTGAAGTTTGGCTGAAAAGAATATTAACGCTGTACTACCGATTCGTCGTATATATTTATTCTTTTTTTACATGTGTATCAAAGTCATACATACCTCTATTCCACTGTAAATTTGATACACTGGCCACGAACAGGAATACATCATTGGTCTTCCGGTTTGATTTAAATAATACCCAAATTCAGGATACCCTAGAACACGCAAACTTTAATACTAATGATCCACATAATTCTAAAAACTTTTAACGAGTACCTCGATCCATGTCCACTGGATGAGAGTAACACCCATCCAATTTTACGTAGTCTAGAAGAATTAACAAAATTCAGATTACAGTTTTTAATAAATAATAACATTTATAAAATCTCCACATTCATTCTTTAACTCTGTCCATCAAGTTGGGCTTTATATTTTTATGACTTCAAAATTTGACCCCAGTATTATGCATATCAAGACATGCTATCTGTAATTCATTATCTTGATAATGAATTGATCGCAAATATTGGCAAGTAAAGTAATCTTTTTCCTCGTTTTTCCTAAAACTTCCATGCAATCCAATTAATCTTTATTCTTACCGACTGCCCAATCAGCAAAAGTGTTCGCATCGGCTTCCAAATGGCCCAAAATTCCAGGATATCCGGCACAAGTATAATTTCCATAATCCTACACAAAATTACACATATTATTCAATTCATTCAAGCAAGCAATTTTGTAACTCACCTCATAAATCCCAAATTTCAGCCCTTTCGCATGAACCTGCAATAGGTCGAAAGTTAATAAATCCTCCAACCCCACCCATTCAATCTTAACTTCTGAATCATTGAAATCAAATCTTACATAATTTGACAGTGCCCTCATTCCACTCGGAAATCGTTCCGGATCTGGCTGCAGGCGTCCCTGTGCATCTCTCGTTTTCGCGAGGTAGCAATCATCCACATTAATCTATAATTAAGTCAATTATTTAATTAACATCACGTCGTCAAACAAAACAGTCGTCACGCACAGTTGAAGTCACACACCAACTCACTTTTTGAAAGGGAATAAGACAAAGTCATAAATTATAACACTTACGTATTCATACCCCACAGCGGCGTACCCTTCACTTACGAGCAGGTCTGACATTTGCATGAATAGCCGCTCACTAAAAATTAAGCAATTTGTTATTTACTTTGGTTTCTAAACAATTCAAAATGTCATCATCAATTCGAACAAAAAGAATTTAAATAAGGTCGGCATCGCATCATCGTGCACATTAAATATATTTACGAGATAAGTCAAGATCGTATGTGCATATGTAACGGATGAACAAAGCCCGAGAGGCTTTTTTTACAGATATTTAAATCTGTGTGTCTTGTCCCCTGTGGAAATGGGTTAGTTATTTGCTACGCATCAGACCACGCTCTTGACTTGACACCTCAACCCACGAAGTAAATTATTATTCTATATATTGTGAAATTGAATTGAAATGCGTGCACACAACAGGTAATGCGCCAGCCTATGGACGAATATGTATGTGGATCTGTTTTAAATATTCGTACGTCTTTCTTATTGCCACTAATAAACCTTGAAACACTTATTTATTTTCTTGAAATCTTTGCTTCTTTCAGAATTCAACTACTAACAGAAAATTAAGTGAGATATGTGTAAATTACCTTATACAATTGTCTGGATCGTTTACGCAGTCCGTATTACAGCGAAACCTTTCCCACGCCAACCACCCCATGGGAGGCGTTCTGGCGAGACCGTTTTCCAAAGATTTCGTCATCAAGGGCAGGATCACGAGGAGAGCAGCGCTCCATAATCGGAGGACGGTTTTCCCTTCCATTATCGGAATTATCAGGGATGATAAGGCAATTGACACTTGATTCGAACACCACTTCAAAGATTCGCTGCAAAAAAATAGAACTCACAAATTTACATAAATGTTAGAAATTTAGCCGCATGATAAATTCTATTTCTTATTCCTTCGACATTGGGACGCTGTCGCAAAATCGCAAAAAATTCGCCGCCGCCACCGTCGACCTCTGGTCCGAACATATATTATGCAACAATTTTTTTATGTACAACACGTCCAATACTTGCTAAGTCAAGAAAGTTATTTAGGTTTCATTTAATCATTAAAGGAACCGTTCTATTTTCTCATTCAACTTTTCTTCCCTTCATACCAAATAATAGTATTGCTTCTTCTTTGTCCTGATATTTTCTTCTCAGACTCATCCTCCTCAATTTGGACGTTAGAAAGTGTGCATGACTTCATGAAAGTAAAAATGCAACATGACCCCATCCAAACATACATAAATAAATAGAGTGGGAATAGTGGGATACATGCAGTGGTGCAGTAAAGGTGTCCTCGTGAAAGACCAACTCTATTAACAGCCTTCTTTATTACGACAAAAAGAAAGAACGAGTTATCTCACAGCAGAAATATATTTAAATCTCATTCGCAAATTGAAACGGTACCATTAATAACACCAATCAATTTGCATACATAAGTCGAATTAACAATCGTTCGTGTTTATGCAATAAATCTTCAGATCAGATCTGCCAAGTAGAATCAATATGCCCGACCGACCACACCAAACAAAATATGCAATAACAACACTTCATTCCCATCGAAAACGACAAGGAGATTGATTGTTACATCTGAATGAATGAGTATTTTAACTATTTAATGTAGAACGAGACACCCCAATAAAAATAATACTTAGCAAAATAATATCACGTCACGCACCCTTTGTTCCAGAAATGTAACGTGAGTAACAACTACACAAAATGTAACAGTGACCTGATCACAATCGTCACAGGCAGGCGTCACTCAATCAGTCATGATTTGCTTGCACCCGTACCGTCGTCTCTTTTCAATCTCGCCATCTTTTTCGCCTAATCGCACTGTGTCACCAACAACAATGACATGACACATTCATCCAAGATGCACTTTCCTTCCCAGCTATGCAGCAAGACGAGAAAAAAGAAGGACTAACTAACTTAACTTTTATTTAAATGCACAGAAGCATAATAACAATAACGCCTCGTTTAAATCGAATTACTTGGGAAGAAGAATGGTCTCAATAAATCGATACAATTGACAGTTTGCATTGACAATTTATCCTACATAGAGGAAGTGCAAGTAGACTAACAAAACAAGGCAACAATGCAGCGTGGTAGGGGAGCGTCCATAAATCACGTGATCGATTAGAGGGGGGGAGGGGGTCTGAAATTTGTCACCAATTATCACGGGGGGGGGGGGGGTAGATGGTCAGGTGTCACGTGTCATGAGTAAAGTTTTTTTTAAACTTTTGTATATGCCAATAAATGTCATGAGAGTTATATATAAACCCTCTTGGCAATACCACACGCAAGAGTTATATAAATTTGATTTTCATTTTGCATATTTAGAAACTTGCTTCGACTTAAATTCTTATGTCCGACTGGCGTATTAAATAGTTATTTACACATGTGTATAATGTAGCTCTAATTTGATTATGATTTAAAAAATATTGTTATTCCGGACAACATGATTTAATTTGAGCATCATCTCCTGTCACGTGACCGGTGGGGGGGGGGGGTAGCGAAATTATCACCACCGGTCACCAAGGGGGGGGAGGGGGTCAAAATTGTCCAAAAATCGATCACGTGATTTATGGACGCTCCCTAGGTAGGCAGGCTAGTTTTTAGCTTATGTAGGAGTTACTTTAGTTTAGTTTTAGTTAGTTTAGCGTGCAATTCGCGATAGAAAAACAACACGAAAGCATCATCCCATCCTCAAGTGGTAAGAAGAAAGAATGTCATTGTGAAAGGGAAATTTGAGATCAAAGATCTCCTCAGTTAAAGTAACTCGCGTATGTAACATTGTAATGACAATAATAATTGGGGATGTCACGACATTATAGATCGGAAGAATTTAATAATGACCAGTTTCTTGGTTTGACACACAAGTACATACAGTAAAACAAGACATAAAAACAGACGTTGGAAAAGCCCCTAATTCCAACCGTTTTACGACGACATACTGTTTACGAAAATTGTAAAAGTGTCGTCCTCGCCTTTTTATTGCTCTTAAAATAGTGAACTTTGCGACTGCAGTCTAATTGTGCAAGCAAGAAAGTAAAAAAAATATGACAAATTGAAATCAAAATTAAAATCCTTGCCGATTTCTCTGATCTACTTGTTACAGAATTTTTAGTCAGTCAGTTGGAGTCTAATTTTTCATTGAAAGCGCGAATGTCAGAAAAATTATGGTCTCAATCAGTTCAGACAAGACAATAATTTGTGCAAAAAATGTATAAATAAATCTGTTGTGATGGGAGAGTACTCACTCGCTCGCTCACTTCATTAACAGCTCAATTTGTAAACAATAAGTATTTAAAGTCTCCGTGTAAGGCAGGTCGAGTTTGACGCCTTAATGTGCAATATAGAAAGCGGAAGTCTTTCCTACTTAAGGTTTCGTTGGTAAAGTGCTCCCCACTCGTAATTAGTTTGCTTGGGCAAGAAACACTTTTTACTAAAAGTTTAGCTAAAAAGAGGAGGGTGCATTTTTTGAGAGAGATTTTCCTAGGGGAATTTCCCCACAAAAAAAATCAATTACCAACAAAATCTAGTAGGTCTAGTCCACACAGAGCAAGGTTACATTCATTGGAGGCGGAAGCGGGGGACAGAGGGACAATGTCCCCACGGTCATTCTATGCCCCCATCATTTTTCCATGTTATATAAACCCCTCCCTTCCATATCCTACAATGTTAATGTCCCCACAACTTCCGCGACCACTGTATGCAATAAAATTATGAAAAAATGAGCAACTTACTCATCATTAAAACGAACGAAAAGGTATAATTTGGGTGATTTGTAATTAATCCATTTTTATGACTGTACGACAATTCACAAACTTGTATCTCGAAACTATGTAGTTACAAGTGCTTTTATTACTGTATTTAATATTACCTGATTTGTAAATTAGTCAGAAGGGAAAAAGTCGCGCAGAAATTGATGCCTCTCCTACTGCTAAATTAAATCGATGATTGATATCAAAAATCAATTCAAACGAATTCCTATTCCCTTCTCTCACCAACGAAATGCGAATGTTACGAGTATGAAATGAGCTTATATAACTTTCAATCGAATCGATGTACTGCGACGATGACAATTTTTATCTTATCGTCTAGAAAACAACCTAATGGCCCAATGGTTATTATATAAACACAAAATTTAAGTAATCACCAATCCAACAACAAATATTTATCGCAGTTCTTGCTTTTTCGCTAGTAAAGCGAATCTCTGCACTACAATAAATACATACTTCACCATTATTTTATTACATATTGACACGACCCAATTTACTTTACACTGGAAAAAGTTGCAGACATAAATAAATGTGCAGAAGGAAAAATTAGTTATGTTGCCATTAAATCACGGACATAAAGGTGTGGTGGTTCGTTATTATAAGAATGGGAGCAAAGTTGACATCAATTAATTGTGCGTGTAACAATATTAACTATGAATGAGACCGTGTAATCTGCAGTAAATGGTGTGCCTAATAAATTTTACACGCACTTGTAACTAGTTGTCAGTGCGTGGTGGCGGTGTGTAAGCAAATAATTCTTGCGATGTAAAATATGTACTTTATCACCTCGCCCATAATAAGAAATGATGAATTATCGAATTTGTCATTACTCATAATGGAGGTCTCCCAGTTACAATACATGCACATCATAAAAGTTGGATTGAAATCAGAATCGGTAACAAGTCTCTGTACTCCGACTTGTACGCATCCTTTATGATTATTTTTTTGTGCTGTGCAAATAATTGGAGGTGATAAAGTGCAAGTCAATAGGTAAAGATCATGCTTTTTACACAATGCAAATATGCATCGAACTGGACTAACAGTCATTAGTTGAACGATGACCAAAGTGAAATGCAGTTTTGCAAATTTCCACCAACATTTGTTTGCCATATTTTACCTACATTTCTCTTGCAACCAACAATAAAATGACACTACAAAACTTTTTTTAGTTAAAAAAATGCAATTCATTTCAAACTTACCCGAAATGGGCAACAACAATGCAAATTATTCCACATTCTAATACAGACATTCATTATTGATACAACATACGTGAATTAATATGAAAGTTCCATTCTGTGTATGTACATTCAATTACTTCCATTGTTAATTGTAATAAGTACGAATTATGAAAATGAATCGGTGCACGGCATGCAGAAAAAGTACAATGAATTGGCCTCAGTGTTCATTCGGAAAAGTGGTGTGTGTATGTATAAATTTATGAAAATATTGTAAAATTTGCTGTACCCGACCAAGTAGGGCAGACAGTATCAAGTCAATTTTTTGCACAAAAAAAAGAGGATTTTTTAGCTTAAAAACGCGTATACCAGTGTTTCGGGTGCAACTAACCACTTGGAAGAAATAACGGCATGAAAGTGCTTTCTTGCAGCTACTTTGACCTGCAAGAAATGCAAGGCGCAAGAAACTACGCCCAGCCGCGCATAGTTCATACGGCGCTTGGTTATCTGGCGCATATTTCTTGCGCTTTTTTGCACTTTTTTACACTTCGCATTTCTTGCAAGAAATGTAGCAAACCCGCAAGAAACGAAACACTGGCGTACACCCACCAATAACCATCTGCATAAATATATCGTATCACAGGTTTCATCAATTCATCATGCATGGTCAGTGGTCATAATGAAATCCTCTCCTTGATGAGATGAGCTTTAGGATTTAATTTTCCTTCTTCTTTAATACAAGATAAATAAAAAGAATAATGTGAATATGCGAATTATTATTTGCCATTTTCCATTTCTCGCATTGATGCTCAATAAGTGGATGATGTCTCTTCTAATTGTCGTCATTTGTTGGTTGGTTGGGTGGTCTTCTAATTGTCGTATCGTCATCGTCATGCATCATATGGGATACATGATTTATTTCAACTTTTAATGTTGGATTAAATAAATTTGTGAAAATAATAAGTGTCTACACAACACTACGCTAAAAAGTAAAAGATACACCCAGCCAGCACCACCGGCATTTATTTATCTAACTTTTCGACGTGCTCCAAATTGATGATCAAGAAAAGAATGAGAACAATGTCATCGAGAGTAAAATGTTGGTCTGGCTGGGTTTTGTGATCTTCTTCTTGCCAAGAAAGCAGTAAAAGCCAGTTTTCCGCTTAGACGGATGACCAAAGTAAAAAGAGGATGATCAAACCGTGCATCTCAAAGAAACAGAATCTGACCTGACCACTTTCCGTCGTCGTCGTGGTCGTCGTGTTTTTAATTTATTTAAACTTGGCAAAGGATGAAGAGATCGCAAAACCAGCCCCATTTTCAGGATGATTGGATTAGAGGCGCAAAAATGAGAGTAAAATTTGTTGTCGTTTTAAGTAATGAAGGTCAGCAGAATTTAGACAATGTGAATCTTTGAATTTGAATTCAATCCTTATCTGGATAATTCGGTGGTAGAATTTGACCTGAAAAAGAGTAGCAAATCTGTCTAAAATTTACTTACCTTCTTTGTTCTGTTGACCTTTTTACGTTGATCTCGACTTAACGTCAATGTTACAACTTGCTTAATTCTTGTTGACACTAAATTTGTACCGTTTTTAATAATTCGAATGACTAGATTTTTTCACCCATGATCCAAATCACAGACAAATTTAAGTTGACACTTTTGTTTAACCGTTAATTAATAAGTTACTCATATAGTTCCCATTTTCAGTGAGGATAATGTTTCCTAAGCACGTGTCGTTAATTAAAAAGTTGACTGGACACAAAATGTCAATATTTCCACCCGACAACAACAACTGACAACCGGTCGACTTACTTTCCGCGATGGAATTTGAACCCGTCTCAGCTGAATTGTGAGACCGAATTGTTGTCGTTTTTATGGATTTTGGATATCAATCAATATGGTTTCGCTTACTTAAAAAAGGAAGGAAAGTGAAGGAGAAGAAGAATTAAGATGCACTTTTTATGCGACCAACCACTTACTTACTGCATGCCAAAAGTTGGACTGATTCCTGGCATTCGAAGTGGCAGTGGTTTTACTCTTTTTTGGCAAATGCAGCATCAACATCATTTATCAGTTTCTATCAGCAGCGGATTCTTCCTTGCACACAATTTTTCTTAATGCAAACTGCACAGCACATGCTTATCTACGTCTATCTAATAGTTAGCATATAGCTGATTTACTCACCAAGTCGACTCGTCTTTCCGGTTTCGGACTGTGTCAAGAGGCCAACTCAATCTTTTTTAGGCTTGGATTGGATTACTTTAATAATGCACTTCAAACCTTGTGATGAGAGTCATTTTCAGTTGGCTATTGGCTCGATGATGAGATGTGCATGCATGCAGAGAAGAAGGGGGTGTGGATTAGTAGGAATATGTTATATCCGGTGTTGATAGGATATGTGCTGTATGGATGGATTGTACAATAAATATGTATGAAAGGACCAAATTTTGCGTGTTTTGGTAACATTTCCTTCTGATTTTATAACATTTTACTCTCCTGTAAAAATGTGAGACTTTGCACCACTCGTAGTAACGTATGCAGTGTTTCGGGTGCAAGAAATGACGGCAAGAAAGTGTTTTTTTGTAGGTATTTTCATCTGCATGAAATGCAAGGCGCAAGAAACTACGCCCGTCGTGAATAGTTCATAGGGCGCATATTTCTTACAATTTCTTCTACCTCGCATTTCTTGCGTTGCTTGCTTTGCAGTGTAAGAAACGAAACACTGCACGCATGAAGCTATGTCTTGGATGAAATAATTTATTGCGAAATTGATAACAAAATAAATAAATAAATACAAACGTAAATTATATATCGAAAATATTCCAAATTGTCTAAACAATCGATCTAGATTACCCACTGTCTGATTCGCTGCTCGTCATCTTCTTCTGATGATGAATAATCGTCGTCGTCATCTTCCGATGAGGATGACGAAAATTCTTCCGAAGTGTCATCGTGACCTGTTCCGGGGTGGTTTGGCAATCCTTCGGCATCCGATGGTGGGGGAATTATTGCTTCCACCTCGGCTGGAGCGGTGGCAACTGGGGGGACTTCGGCAGAATTGGAACCCAAAGCGTCAGACGTGGATGGAAGAAGGGGCGAATTTTCACTCCTTTTCACCCAACCGACGCCAAAGACGGTGGCAGAATTGGTTTCAAACGTTAGCAACGTTACGATTACCTAATGTCAATAATTTCTTGATTATTGGATTTTTTTTCTAGGGTTAAGGATTAATATTAATCCGGGATTAGATTAATCGGGGAGTAATTAAGTATTCAACTTCGTAGGGATTAACGATTAAGGATTAATTTACAATGGTTTTGAACTCGGGATTAAGAATTAATTGATCCTGGTTAAATTGTGATTTAGGATTAATGCAATTTATGTTACAAATTGTAATTTACGAACCGAAATGATCAATAAATTTCCGAAATATGAAGACATTTTAAAAAGTAGTGTCCCGAACTGGAAGTGAATTTGCAGGAAATGAATTTCAGAGTGGCTTGCAATTCAGGGATCTCACATTCACTCCAACCAAGTAATGCAATTTTATAGGACTCTTCACGGTTCTTTAAAGCGCATGGGGCCTTGGACATTTGCATAGTTTATGACAATTGTGATACGAATGATGCCACGCGTCCTTACGGTACGCATGTGAAAAACAGATATCAGGATTTAGCAGAAGGTCAGGTACATGGACGAATGGAGGTGATAAGAAGAATACGTTTACCTGGCAGACCATACTTTTTACAGTGTACATAAAATTAACAATTTAAATTCAGAGGGTGACACACATTTCTGAACATTATGCCAAATCGGTAACAAATTATCACATGCAATACATATCATGTACGCCTGTGAGGTGACAAACGTGTAAAATAATTTTGTACACATACATTCCTCTTAATTTGCAGAATTTTTATTAAATTGTTAATTAACCGTTCTTAATTAAAGTTATTAAACAGTTTTTCTATAAAATAGTTTTAAATTGAATTTTAAACGAGTCTTGTTTTACTCAATCAAAATAAACAATTTCGACATAATTAATGAGGGACACTTTTAAAAATGATAAAATAATAAGTACGCACACTTCTTACACGGTACAAACTTTTACCAAGTATCAATCAGAGAATCCTTTAAAAATCGAGTACATACACAGTACAATTCACGATTAATTAAAATTCAGGCATTATTCATTATTGAGTCCTTCCTGCACTTTTAGATATCGATATATAGGCCACAAACAATGAGTCGGAATCATAATACTAATTATTTAGTTATGCATAGCTTTACTGGACACAATATTTAATTAAACAGTAGTAGTTATTCATGTCATGTCATGACAAAGTACACTAATTATGTCAGTCCATCCATCAGACAGAGATTGACTAAAGTCGTAGTGATGATGATAAGTTTTCCAAGTATTTTTCGTGTTATTATCAGTTCTTGATTTTCACTTTTTTTTAGACTAACTTTATTATCCTACAATCATTTTTTACTCATTTATGTAGTTCTACTTTTCTAAATATTCCTAATCTGAACCTGCCAGAGAATTATTATATGAATTTATTATTATGAATGTCTGATCCTTGTTATTGTTCTTCTTCCTTCATTTTCACGGGTTAATACATGTTCGGCCAGATAAGTGATTTCCAGATCTAATGTACTGTAGTTAAATTAATGAAATTCTACATTCTACTTGCACTTCTAACTTTACGAGATTTGATGTCTTCATTAATTGCATATAAGTTTAGCAGGTGACCTTAATTATGATCTGACTAAATACATACGTGAGAAATTAAATAAATTAATGCATAAAACCGTAGAAAACCAGTCCAGTCCATGATATTAAAATTGAGATGATAATTATTAATAGTACCATTGTTGCTGAGATTGAGATTGCGAGTTTCTTGAATTAAATTAATTAAAATAAAATAAAATGGAATAATAATACACGGCGTTTCATGCAGATCGATCGAGATATAAGTCTTTCTGAGGTAAATATAATAATAACTAATATGTTATGCAATTCAATATAGTCATGAAATTAAAATGTGTATGCATGCATAGGATCGTGGCGGTGGTGCGATGCTGTGGCATCTATAATCTTAATAGTGACCTGCTTGACCTTTGCTGTGAATGCGTCTCAGAATGGAGGTCTTCCAGCGTATGTTCTCTGATTTTGAGCAAATTAGTGTCAATAGATCACGAATTTAAGTAATATAAAATTTGCAACAGACACAACCTCCCAATGCGAAAAGGTTTAGCAGAGATATTTGCATACTAGGAGGAGAAACACGCCATAAATTTGACAAATTTTACACTTTCTAGATTTACTATGCATTTTCTCCTCTTCAGATGAAAATATATCCGCCAAACGTGGCCGTTGGGAGTTCGTGTCGTTTACAAATTTCATACTAATTAAATTTGGGATCAATTGAGACTAATTTGCCCAAAATCGAATCGCATAAGATGCGAGACCTCCATTCTCAGTTGACATTCTGACATTCAAGATAGGATAAATTAACGTAGCTTGCTGATTGGTTATCTATCATTACGAGATAATTTTTCCACGGAATGGAAATAAACATTTTATCCACCATCACCGTCAAGTCTCCACCATGGGTTGTTGATGATTCAAGTGATTCGTGTCCTCCTTCTGCCTCCGCAGGGAGGAAAACATGCCCGAGAATCGTTTCCGCTTTGTCGACGTGAGAGAGACCGTGCTGGCTAAAGAGGCTGACTTCATGGCGACAATATCGCCATTAATGTCTTTATCCTTCTTGAATAGGAACTTATTGCTGTCATATTTCTTCTTAACACTTTCCTCCGTTGCTACTTTCCCCGTGGGGTGGACAAGTTTGGAAAAGGTGGACCATAACTTGGACCCCTTTCCTTTCGTGGAGGGTCGCCCACCTCCGCCACCACCGTTTTGGGAATACTGGAGAAAAGTGGCGGCCAACGGGACGCCGCCGGAATTGTTGTTGGGGCCGAGCTTGTGTTGAGACCCGTTGATGGCGGTGATCGTGGTGAAGTTTGCGAGGTCGAGCGTGGTTGTCTTTTGTTTATCATTCTTGATGAATTGTGCAGTCGTCGGTGGTGGTGGTGTAGGTGGAGAGTGAAGAACTTCATGTTGGGCGTCAGCATTCGGAATAATAATCGTCCCGTCGGAACTTAGTATATTTTCAGAGTCGGATCCACTTTCTTGGGTGGTGCTATTATTGTCCTTGTCTTGGAGGGGTCCTTCCTGGAGAAAACAAAGTATTCCGATGATGCTGATACATAGACACACAAATAACCAACAACGCCCCCACACACACTTCACTTCCATGGATTATTTAAGCGACATTTTACATACAGGGATTTTTTTACTATAGCATTGGAAGGTGGTTCAACATTACTAATAAGATTCGATCGTCAAAGTTTGAGACTTTTGAGTTTTAAAAATTGTGGCATTATTCTAACCTAACATAGATATTCATGGTTTCAAGATAAGCCTAACATTTTCAGAAGATTGGAAGGAATACTGAAGGTGAAAAACTGCATGCAAAATTGTCATGCAAAACTCCATCAACAAATTTGAATTATCCGCTACAGGGGGTGTGGAATCTTTAAGTATTAATTAAATTAAACTGGTTAAGGGTTGACACTGAACATATGAAAAAGGTTTCAAATTTCATGAACTATTTTGGTAATTTTACATACATTTCTGTACAACTGTTTCAAACGTCAACGATCCTTCTCTTATAAATAAGCACAAAAATCCGAATGAAAATTATTCAACGACGTCAAACAAACTTCCATGACTAATTTCTCCAGTCAATTCTTGGCCGACAAACAACACAGGCAATTTGACTAAACTACGATTTTTTATTTATGTATTTATTACAAGCACAAAGCGTAAAAGCGGACACAGCAATAAATCAAATCAAGTCAAACCGAATAATTCAACAAGGAAATGAAAATGAAAATCAAGAACAACTTGCCAAAAATATTTATGTATCTTCAACTATTTATTTTATTAGCATCAAATTAAAACTAGGGTAAAATCATGTAGTGTTTGTTTGTTTTATTAATAGTAAGGCTACAATATTTCTCAGACTTTTAGGGTAAATAAAGTATCATAATTATTCTTGTATTTTATTATCTGTGGTGAATCTCACACAATTATTGACGGGTAGTTGTAGTAAGTAAGTAAGTAATTACGTGGGTAAAAGTTTAGGCCGCTGAGGAAGAAGTGGGTGTATCAGGAAATACAAAATAACCGGAAGAAGAGGACAAGTACTTTAAAACTGCAATGATAGCAGTGTAATTTTCTGATTCAGAGGATGAAAACTTTGCAAAAGTGTATATAATAAAATAATATGTATTTACTAAAAGAAACTCCAAGAAAGAACTTCTCCTTCTCCTCTAACTAAAAATGGAGTCCTCCAACATATTCTCTCCAATTTTGAGCAAACTAGTGTCAATCGATCACAAATCTGATTAATATGGAATTTGGAACAGACACGATCGCCCAATGGGCACGTTTCAAAAGTGATATTCGCATCCCAAGAGGTGAAAAAGGGCCCTAAAGTCGAAAGTTTTACACTTTTCAAATTTACTGCACATCTTCTCCTCTTCGAATGCAAATAACTCCTCCAAACTTGAGCATTGAGAGATCATTGCTTTCGCAAATTTTATACTAATTAAATTTATGATCGATTGACAGTAATTTGCTCAAAATCGGAGAATATGCTGGGACACCTCCATCGTAGAAACTTATGCGCATAGCGTATAACTATTTGTAGTAGTAAAAGTCAAAAGAATCGAAAGAATACTCTTCTTTATTTTCAGAATAGCTATGATCTAATCCAATCGAGGAGAGGAGGATGCAGCATGCGTGGCATTTGGCGTAATATTATAATATTTACATATTGGTGGTGGGTGGGTGGGTAGGATAAGGAGCGGAGAGTAGTTTTGAGGTGGTTGGTTGGGTGGGCGAATAATTACCAGAAATTGAATTAATTAACATTATAATCACATCCCTACCTCTGGTACTTTCGTGGCAGACGAGATACTCTCCAGACTGTGCGTTTGAGACAAAGCTTTGGACACGACGCGTCGAGCCTCTTCATTGTCCATCGAGTCAAATAGAGATCCAGTCCCGGCTCGCCCATTCGCATACGCTTTCATCCTACTCCTTTTCCCCACGGGAAGAAATCATTCCAAAATTTTATACAATTTCTAATCCCATTTTTAAAAAAGTAATCATATTTGTCTTGTATAAAGTGTAAGCTGTGTACGTGCAGCATGCTTTAAAATTGCACCATGCACGACATGCAAACCCAGTAATTAAAGAGACCATGATCACAGCACCTGGTTTGGTGAAAAAGACGAAAAACAGACCCCCCTTTTTACAGCAGTGGTGACAGAACATAACTCACGTTGTCTTAACGTAGGACTCGATGACTGGTCGACATACTCAGCGCATTTTTAATCATTTCTCGGGTCAGGAAATTTATTTTTAAATTCTGGACCACTATCGAGTCCTTCGTTAAGGTAGCAAATACGGTCAAAAGTGATAAGTAAAAGTGCGACAAAATAAAAATATAAGTACAAATTTGTGTATACTGTGTACACCCGAACGAACTAGAGACAGGTTAGTGCTTACTTCACGTTAAACTAAATAGGTAAATAAAAAAAAAACCCACGTTCCAGAATAGTAATTAGGAAACGAAACGAAATAAAATATGCATGCCCAGGACACACCACCAACAAGATGAGAAGAAGCCAACCAAAAGAGGACATCAGTGTTCATGCGACATCATTCTGAGCCGTTTCTCAATGCCGGAATGCTGGAAACTCACGCTGGCACATTTTCTGAGCGGATAATTAAAAGCGGCTGCACGAGCGGCGGATGTCTCTAACCTGTGATCTGCACGGAACGTGACTCGCCGCGCGTTGCTGATGTCGGACGGGTCGCCGACGATGTTGTCGTCCTCCCCGTTCGACGAGTCCTTGGAGGACGACTCCCGACTCAGCAGAGACCTTTCCCGCAGGGACAACATGCTCGAGGCGGATTTCGACCGGGCCATGGACAACTGCAGAGAGTGACTTGTTGGTCCGGACACTGGAGGAGAATTTTACAATTATGACATTACAAGTCGGTAGTCAGTAAGTAGTTGTGGATATGTAAAGCCAAAATTATTTCGTCAAGCCACGTCTTTTATGCGTTAATTTAAAACATAAATCACCACGAAACGTGTTAAGACAGTTGGAAGCAAAGCAAGCCCCATTCAAAAGATGTCATAGTAGCGTTTTTCTTGCACTGAAACGCAAGAAATGCAAAGTGCGCCATCCGGCCACGCCCCCCAAAAAGCATAGCTGCGGAAAGAAGTTTCTCGCGCTTTGCATTTCTTGCAGGTCAAAATAGGAGATAGACAGCAAGGCAATTTTACATCAATTGTACAATCCATTACACAATTTTCACAACTTTTTTCTCACTCGATTCAGAGTGGCACTCATTCCAATCCATTGTATCGTTCAATTTCCAATGGTATCGTTAATCAAGTTTTCACTTCAAACCAAATCGACATGAACGAGTTAGGACCCTCAAACTCTGGTCGTCAGGGTCATCAAATGACAAAACCACGGATAAAATAGGGATGCTCTGTATGTATCCGTACCTGAATCCTCTTCAGTGATTGAGGTCAACAAGTCGCCACCATTTTGATTCATTCCTATCCCCATCCCCACACTATTACCATCCGAAGACTTGCTACTTCCACCCCCTTGGGGCACGGTACAAAAACAAGGCCCATAATTTCCCATACAGGCAGTATAATCGGAATGAGGAGACGATGAGGGGTGGAAACTATACACATGTGTTGAACCCGACAGATAATATGAAAAGTTTTGATGACCCGGAAACATCATGTAGGTCGAAGAGCCGACAAGCTTGTGAACTTTGAAGGAAATAATAGACAAGAAAGCGAAATTCAATAATTAGGTAAAATATTTCAAATTCCCCAAATACGAAAAGACCAAAACCACACAAACCTTACAATTCAGGTCTCCAAGCGTATGTTCACCGATTACGATCGAACTGGCGTCATTTGGAAATTGCATGTTAATTAAATTTGCGATTGATTGACACTGATTTTGTCAAACTCTATGAGCATATACACGCTGGGAGACCTCCATTGTTAGACTTAGACACTCACGCTCCACCCATTAGTCAAACAATTAGTAAATTCTACACTTCTGAAATTACAATCTAACTTTTCAATAAAAAACAACCGCAACCCAATAAATACGATACTACGTTAAATAATCATGGTCAACTTCATGTCAAAATCATGCAATGCATGTGATAGCAAAAGAGAAAAAAATCCGAGTTCAAATAATAGAGTTTTCATTAATTAAAATAAATACCGTTGTTCAAAATGCAGTACAATTTTTGAAAATAATAGTCTACACAGGGTATGTATAACAATGGTTAAGTTAGTAAGAGAATACTTAACTACATCCTAGTAAATCAGTATGGCTTTACGGTTTAAAGGAAGATTATCAAATCAATTATTTAATCAAAAAAGGGTAACTTATATGTTAACGTGCCCCATTCATTGTATTCCTGAGTGAGCGAGTCGAATAATGAAAAACTAAATAAGCTGAATTCTAATTTATGGGTTCATTGGCAAGGTCATAAATTAAATAGTTTCTCATTGATATTCATAAGAAGATTGAAAAAAAAGCTCGAAATGTAATGTCAGTGTTGAAATTCCATTCAATACCTAATTTTGGCCACCTATCAAAACCGTATCACCAAAATATTTAGTCTATAATGACATCATTTCCTTTGTACTCACACTCACACCCCGTTAATCTCATCTTAACTATTATATAACAACAAAAAACAAAAATAACAACCAACATTGTCTCTCACACGACCGACACCACCACAACATGAAACAGTAGTAGTAATAGTAGTAAGTAAATAGCATACACAAAATTAAAGCTGCTCAACCGGAATACATAAAAGTGGAGTGGAGGATAAGGCGGTGTGACTTGATAAATTGCGTTGAAATTACATAAAAACAAAAATCTTTGGCAAGGTCTCCTCCCGTCCGGGCACTAACTCTAACTCGATGGCAAATTAAAAAGTTACGCACAAAATAAAGCGTGACCATCATGAATCGCGTCACATTGAAAATCGACCATCGTAAATTTTTCTCTCTCTCTTTCTTAAGGTACGTGATCACTCAGAGATTCGTAAAAATTAAACCGTTACAAAAAATGACAACGGTGTCTGATTTTTCTTCTAAGGAAATGAAGGAGACCATTCCAAAGAAAAGCTTGGAAAACACGACAGTAGTATGTTTAACAATGGGACGACGCAGTCAGCAAGATTCAGGAGATATCCCATCGTCATGATCTCTCGGTTGCGAGTTAAAGAAGGGAAACACACAGGAAGTTGGTGTACTCATTCATGGTTTGGATGAGGTGGGAGACGAAGTTTGGGCCTACCTGCAGACGGGCAATATATAGAGCTCGCTCCATCATCGTCGATATCATCTTGACTATTGCTTATCACAGATCCGGGTCCTACATGTAACAGAGTTTACAAATGTACACAAACTGCATCAAATGTTTGCGTTATTTTTTTCCAAATTGTATATCATTTACCAGCAGCATATTGCGGTTTCCCATACACTTTTAACAAACTCTCCAAGTACTGGATTCCCGGATTATTCATTACGGAACAACCAATTAGTAGCTCTATCTGCTTCCAGCGATGCATTCGTTCTTGTAATTCGTGCGTGATTTCAGTCAATGACGTCCTAAAGATTGAGGAAAGTTTAATTTTCAGCCAATACAAAATTTAACAACTAAAACTCTCACCGAGCTTCTAGTATCGCTTTATCTACGTCATCTATCGATCGACCGTGAGTCGTTACAAAGGCTCCCATAAGGCTGGACCTCTTCTTTTTCAACTTGTCACACTATGTAAATCCACATTTTATAACTGTAAAAATTAACCCATTTCAAAATATATGATTTATTCGTTCTCACCGCTTCCTTCGCTTGTTTGAGCTGCTTCTCGGCTCCAGTTTTCTTCTTGTTGTATGTCTTTAATTCCAACTCGTACGTGTACTGCAACCAATGTTGCAGCGCGGGTGGTGGGACCCAACACTTGTCTTGCAATTCAACCTCAGCTCGATGCAGTTCACTGCGCAAAACCTATCACAAAAAATACAAATGTAAGTTAGACCGTGGATTTGAAGTCTGTTTTTTCTATGGGGAGAAAAATTCCACGTAAAAAATGGACCCTAAAAAAGGGTTTTCGTCCCCGCTTTCCCGACAAACGCGTTTCAACGTTTACACCACAAATCGAACCCAAAGTAAGAAATTTTGAAACAAAGTGAAATATTCATTACAAGAATTTCGTCTTCCAACTCTTCACAACAACTGCTTGGAGACATTATTCCTTTCGGAGGACTGTTCGTCGCTACCACGGAGCACGTCGTGGTAGCTGTCAATTCAAGTTCTTGGGAATCTTTGCGAGTGCTCATGAGATAAGAATTAATTCTCGAACGAACAATTACTACAAATTACGACTCCTGACCAACTTGGACCACGTCTTAAACGATACTGGTGCCAGGATTTGTACAAATTGTGGATTTTTACCCTACCAGCCAACCGTTACTAATAGAGTTTGACGACGAGCGTTACAAATGTTAAATGAAAATGAATATGCATTATCAGGATTTCAGGTTTACCATGTTTTCTTCTCGAAGCTTTGACAATTCATCTGGATCGTCACCCAGAATATTGGAGGCACCTCCTTCTGGAACAGAGTCTTTCTTTTCTTGAATGGTTTTTGCCTTCTCCAGTTCTCTCTGTGCAAAAATACCACGGTAAGATAGGTTAGTTTCAGATTATTAACACGATTCAAACGACGACATTGTCGTTTCATAAATTAAATCATATCTATGATTTAATCTATGATTTATGATTCAATTTATGTTCACGTTACATGTTTATCACTTCAAAATTTGACCCCGGTGTCCAACGCCACAAATATGACAACAATTTTTCTGAATTTTCAAATCTAATTACTAATTTTTCCAAACTCTTTGCGATAACTTTTTCATCTTTTTTTACGCATGTCTTGATAATGAATGGGGGATAGCATTCAAAATATTGACAAATCAAGTAAACCTTTTCCTCGTTTTTTCCAATAAAAACTTCCGTGTAAATCCAATTAACTTGTCTACTAACCTGAAGATCGGCCAATGTTTCTTCCGCTTTTGACAGCTCAGCCATATGTTTAGACATTTTGGTCAAGTCGTCCTGTGCCCATTGGTACCTCTTATAAACGAGATAACACGCAATCACTGCGGCGGCGAGGAGTGTCGTTAAAATAGCGTCTTTTACACGGTTTGTGGTATCTGTAGTTAAAAATTGAAAATGTTTTTAAATTATTTCAAATTCTGTTGTCTATGTGTATTCTTCTTATAATATATTACCTCTCGGAGGACCGAAAAGAACCACATCCATTGCTTTCACTGCGATTCGTTGTCTCGTAATTGAGTCTTTCACACCTAATTGAGCTTGTAGAAAATTGTTGTAGTTTACGGCAAGGCTGAAATATAAATATTATTGGTAAAAGTTCACTTCCTGTTTTGTTCATGCACTTGAAAAATCATGCAATATAAATAAATAAACTTTGTGTTTATGTGTATTACATACATAGGCAACACGGTCCCATTAATTTTTCGGGCATTAAATTTTTCTTGATGTTGTGGCAGCCCAACGAAAGTAATCAACCATTCAACCGTCTGTTGAACGGTCCAATTGTGAACTTCGGATTTTATCCAACTTTCCCACAATTCTTGAACGGAAACTTGAGTATCTTCACGGTGAAAGGCCTTTTGTCTGTTTTCAATGTTTTTCTCATATTTCAGTTCTTCTCGGAGGAACTGCGCAACAGAAAAGTCAAAAAATTATAGATTATCACACAAAATTATGTTAAAGAGAGAAAGACATTCGTTCGTTCGTACCTCGTTTGACTCGGTTAAGTCAATGTTCCCATTTTTATCATCGTCCAACTGACGATGCAATGACCGTATCGCGTCCAACGCTAGTGCTTCCGTCTCATCCAGGGATGAACACCATTTCTCGCCATGACACAGATCTGTAGTTGCAAAAAAAACAGGACGACCAATTAAAGTATATTGACATCAGTTTAGTGGTAAAGATGCGTATCCTCTCTAGTCGACTTAAAGTTTTCATCACATTTCATGTCAACTAAGAAAAACCGTGGTGTACAGTCACTCAATCTTTCATCCTTCCTGCTTGTATGGATAGATTTGATTTGATTGGCATCATGTCATCATCTTCATCATTCATCACCACAAATATTCCACCTTTTCTTTTGCCAACATTCTCGAAAAAAAGATCAGACTAATAGTCGAAGCAAACAGATGATAAACAGATCAAAAGAATCTGTTATACAAAAAACTACTGTATATACATATACAATGAATTAATTACTGCGACGTACGTAACATTAAATAGTAGTGTTCTGGAATTTATTCTCCTTTGTAATAAGCCAGACGCGATGATGACATGAGACACATGTCAACCATTTATTGAATTAAATTCGGTAACACACAAGAGCAATTTGCTTTAATTAAAGAATCGTAATTATTAGTGTCGTCGTCTTTTACAAGAAACTGATATCTTTCAAGCATTGTCTAACCCTGTAGGAGGACAATTTCACCTCAAATGAGCCCTGTCACTTACTTAAATTGAGTCACTCAATCTAATGAATTTATGAAACTTGAAACTACTACAAAACATAATGTCACAAAAGGTCATGCCGTTAATACAATCGAATTATTTGCAACCCTTACCGCTATCCTCACCTGCCGCTCCGTTGCCATTACTACTTCCGGCCGCCCCACCACCATTCCCGTTACCCGCACCACCGTTACTTCTCCCCGGCGATGACGTCTGCTGTTGTCCAACCGCAAAACCACGCCCGTTCAGAAGCAGGGACACAAGCACAAGAAGTGTCGACGGTCTAGCTAATCGACAACAATGCGCCATCGTTACTGGCTAAACCACACCCAAAATCTCGGTGGTTTGGTCTGCTGACAGATAATTTTTAAACACTTTCACACATCTGCCCTCCTCCCAGGACGACTTCACCACCACGATGGGCAGGTCGGTCAAGTCGTATTTAAAATAATTAAATATTGACACCTCTCAGTCAACACGAAGTTGTCAAATTTTGTGTGGGTGGACTAAAAAAACAGAGTATGTGTAGCTTTTTTAATATATTTGTCCTTGTCCGTGCCGTTTGCGACTGACTAAACAAGTCCCAATAAATAATTGTAAGTACTAATTATTCCTATTATTATTATTATTTGTGTATTAACTTTAGCCTCAACAGCAGCAGCAGCAGTTAGTTAGTGGAATAAAATAAAATGTGATTATTTAGCATGGGAAGAAGGAACGAGAAAGAAGGTCGTCGTGTTATTAAGAACCAAGTCACAATATGTGTAATGGAATACTCCGTGGTTTTGCTACTATGCTGCTCCTCTGCCGTGTCAGTAAGAGGCAACTTTTTTGTCTGCAAGTATAAAGTACATCCACATTTATTAACCTGTTGTGTTGTTGTGTAATGGAATATGTAAAAAGTTCACTCGCACAACTAATACCACTACTACGAAAGGAAACTGAGAAAACGGACGGAGCACGTAAAGTAAAATAGTTAGTTAGTTAATTGGTCTTTCTTGGTATGGGGGATGCATGGCATGGCGATGACTGGCTTCATACGGACTTTACTCTGGCTTAAACTGCGCTTAATAAGGAAGCATGCTAGATGTATGTATGTTATCATCTCCACAAAATATTTCTAGGACATGTAAGTAATGGTGATGAAATCGGGAAGAAAAATGTGAATTTTGGATCTGTTAAGCTCAATATTTTGTGGTCAGGGTGAATTGAACCGCAATGTTTTTACTTCAATATTTTATAAAGTTTTACAAGGTAATCTCCTACTACGCATCGATATTTGCATTTAACCAAATACAAATAAAATGATCTGTGGAAATTGTGCGGCAGCATTAATTAGCGGAATGAATATTGATCATTTATCCAAGTGGTGTAATTAGTGGGGACAAAATCATCTCACGATCTGCCAGTGCCATCTGATCTGGTGACATGACATGGAGGAAAAAAGTGCATGCAATTATCTAATAAATAATAACTGATAATAAAATCAGGAGGGAGATCCCATCACATGAAATTATTTACAAAGCACAGAGCAGCAGATACATATGCGTTACAACATGTACTATTAACCTTCACACCAGACCAGAAGAGAGAGACAACATTAGAAACTAAATGACATTCGCTCATGACTTTGTTACCATTTACCATAGCCATTTACTTAAATCGGGTTGGTTTTAAAATCCTGCTGCTGCTGCAATGTTGTTAAAGTTAATGATGATTAAATAACAATCTGTCTGTAATAAATAAGTCCATGCAGCTAAGTACATACATACATCGCAAAAGCACAATCGAGTATTATCATCATCAATAATACTTCATATGTACATGTGTTTGCAGTATTGTCTCACTCGCTCGTAATAAAATTAACGAGGGCTTCATAAATGTTTGCACATATAATTCTTTTACCGAAGCAATTAAATTTGCAAATGTATAAAATTTTCCATTCAATTATGCACGATTGATAATTCATAACTGACGTCGACCGACAATATGCGAGGGAGGAATGCAAAGTATGCATTGTTATTGTTATGTACATTATGCAATGGAATTCAATGAAACAAATATTTATTCTGGTCATGTAACACAATACAATATTCGTTTTGTAAGAGAAATATCACAGTTGTAAGACTTTGATTAATTAGAACAAGGGAAAGCCAAAGTATGCCTGAGTGTACGCAATATGTATCAAACGACTAAATTATTCAGAAATTCATAAATCAATATTTTTACTACCTAATTCCGTTTGAAAAAAGAATCGATTGAAGGTTGACCTTTACGTGGTTTGGATTTTAGAGTATTGTTTGGCTTTGACCTCGAGTAGGCAGGGGCTTCATCTGCTGTTTCGACCGCCCTTAATTTTGTAGGAGTTGGGTTGACCGGAACTTGGTCGTCTTCTTGGTCGAGGTGTCGTTTTGTGGCTGTTTGTCCTGACACCGGAGGAGTAAAAATGGATTTACTACTGCATGGTAGTTGGGATTGAGGTTGAGCGTCCTGCTCTGTCGTCCCTTCACGCATAATACTTTTCATGACAGAGACGTTCAAACATTCGTCAATGTGCGTGTTCATCTTGACCTCGATTTCTTCTTCAGATTTGAATTTGATGGATCGATTGCACACGGGACATGTCGCGTGACACGTCGTATCAAGTCCGTCGTCGCCATGATCATCTTCGGGTCGAAGATGATCTTCCTCGGTACCGTTTTCACTCTTCACCTCTTGTTTCACTTGCCCATTGTTATTCGCGAATGACATACAGTCATCCAAATGTGTCCCGAGTCCTCGCATACAGCCAAATTCTTGCTCGCAACAGGGACACGTATATTTTTTAGGTTTATTAAATAGTTGCGAAAGGGTTTGTTGCTTCATTATTCCACCATTTTCGGTGTCATCTTCATCCGAGAGGAATCGCAAGTTTGATATTCGCACTCCCATCAAGCGTAACTGCAAGTTTGGAATTTCCTGCTCGTACGAAATGTAAATAGACCAAGCCGTCTTGTATATCGTGCTGGCATTCGAAGTATACTCGGCAATAGATCGTGCCCTCGTTTTTACGTCGAAATGTGTAGTTTTGATCTTCAGCGCGATAGTTTTTCCGGTAGCGCCCTTCTTCTCCAAATCCTTCTGTAATTCTTGGGAAAGATCGTGACACATTTGCTTCAGTTCTTCCTTGGTCGCCTTTCCAAAAGTTCTCTCACAACTAATCGACTTTCTCACGTCGTCCCCTTCAGAATCCAGCGACATGAACGAACCTGCAACCCCTTTTGAGGCAGCGAGGAGGAAAGATGCCGTTGCAGGCTTGAATAAGAGATGAATTATTCCACGTTTTTTCCAAAGGTCGCCACAAGTCTGGATGTCCAATCCTTTCAACATTACTTCCGTTACGGGACCGATTCCACAAACTTTTCGGACTGGAAGTTCCGTCATAAATTTTTCTATGGCTTCGATACTGCATTCGAGATAATATTGATTGTTTGGTTTGTTGATATCGCTGCATATTTTGGCTAGTAAACCGTTCGCAGCGATCCCGGCGCTCACGGTGAGTTTTGTAGCTTCGAAAACTTTGGTTCTAATCTCTTCCACCAGCTCGGACGCGGTCATTTCGGACTGTTCTCCACTCAAGAAGGAATTTCTCTCCTCCAAGCAGCGCGAGATGTCGAAAACGGCCTCGTCCATGGAGACGGAAAGAGTTTCGGTGTCATACTCTTCCAAAACTTGTTCAACTTCTTTACTGGCGGCCCTGTATTTGGCAAAATTTACGGGAACAATGGTCAAGTCCGGGCAGATTTTTTTCGCAATAAAACCCGGCATTCCGGCACGAACACCTAGAAAGTAATAATACTAAATTAACTTCATGGGCGAGTTTTGAGTGTTTTCAAATACTTAGTCCATTGATGACTAAAATACTTTGTCAAAATACAGTATTTTGAGCTCCGTTCTTGCCAGGGTTTGGATTTCCAGGTGTGTTAAGCCCATAAGTCATACCGTATGAATGACTACTGCATTTTCCATGCAGATTTTCTTCTTTTTGTGGGTGTAACACCCCTGGAAATCCAAACCCTGGCAAGAAATGAGATCAAAGTACTGTATTTTACCCATCAGTGATACTTACCAAATTTCCTAGCATGGTAATTGGACGTGCAAAGCATAGAATTTCCACCAACAGCCATGGGAACTTCCCTGTTAAAAAAATAAATATATATGACTTTAACAATCCAAAATTATATAAATATGAAAATTCCTTACTTGAGACTTGGGTTATCTCGCATTTCCACCGAAGCATAAAACGCATCCATGTCCAGGTGTACAATAATTCGTGACAAATCTCTCTTGTCCTCCAATTGTTTTGCGAGTACGTCGGCCTAAAATAACCAAAATATCGTCATAATCATCATTGTCAAGTCAACAAAAGAAATAGAATTTATGAACCACACCCACTTGTTTTTCAGCCTTGGCTAGCGTTTCTGCAGAAAACGCAGCAACTTGAGCCTGCATATCAGCAACTTTTTTACGCAATTGTTCCTGGTTTTTCTTTTTGTGTTCGTAAAACTTGGAACCACGGGAAGTGTCGTTAATAATTTTGTTTATCCGGTCCAAATCAAGACCTTCCATTCCAGCCTTGGATACATTTAGACGGATAACTCCGCTTGGGGGAGTGGCGATGGAGTCTTTGTCGTACTCGTCGTCGTCATCGTTCATGTCGACGGAATTCTGCATAACAAAACCAAAAGTTACAAAAATTTGAGAAAAAAGTGCAAGCGAAATTTGTAATCATGAACGAATTAAATTGTTTGCCTTTAACATTCAAAAGAAGTTTTACCTTATTTTTATTACGCGGAACAACGGAATCTTCGAGTTCTGACATGATAGTAACTATTTATTTAATGTGCAAAAATAATTTTGCAGATCGGCACAAAGACACAATAGAAACGTATAAAACACCACGTTCGCGGAATTTTGAAGGGTAGCATGCGAAGCAGTTTTCTTGCATGAAAAATGAAACATTTTACATGAAAAATTCGCAACTTTATTGGAACAAGGTTAAGTTAAGATTATGACAAAAATTAATTAAATACATAATATCAGAATAACTATTTTATGCAGAGTATTGTATTTACTAACTCAATTGATTTAAATGAAAAAGCTGTATGCATGCAAATTTACTTAGGCAAAGGCAATGCAATAATCCAAATCGTCTCAATTTACACTTTAGATTGCTGGACCATGTATTACATAATAATTAGAAATGTATGCATTGTGCTGGACATTGTCATATACGTTGCATAATATTGCGTAGGAATTATCAGTTATGCAAATTTTGTTACTGATGGTGGGTCTTCGTTTACATTAATAGTTTAGTTTAACCCAATGTACATACATTTTGCTGTCTCAAGAAACTCATGTTCCTTCACATTCCTTCATACATATTTATACCAAATGCATAAGTATACAAATTTGGCTATTCCTCTTCTCCAAATATTTAGAATACTATTTGCCAATTTTTCAATATAAAGCTTGAAAGCTCATGATTTGGACTGTGCGAATTAGTCTGATAAAGTGTCACGGCCTCACAAGTCCTGGATTAACAGGTCAAAGGTGGATTCGTTCGTAGTCACATTTTTGTCACAGTTCTCAAAATCTCAACTCACATCTTTCTTGTTTCCGGTAAGACAGGGTAAAATTTGCTGAAGTCAACTTATCGATCATTTGTCTCCTACTCTGTGCATAATTTAAAGGATTTAAAGGATAAACCCTTGGGTGCGAGGAGATAAGCATAGATCAAAACTAGAATCAGTAACAGTAACAGTACATAGAAATGCTGAAGGGAAATGAAAATGAGGGACTCTCAACCTCGCACTTTATACATCGTAATCAATCACTTCAGTACGCACCTTTCGTTGATAATACAAACTGGAAACCTGCAGAGTCACAATTATCAGCCCCCTCAACTTCTTCCAGTATCTTGGTGAAATTTCCTACTAAATTCACTTATATCAATTCATATCGCATTCTCTAATGAGCTATTTATGCAAATGTGCGCAGAGTTATTGCGAGGAAATTCCATTCCTCGGTGACACTTCAAGGTTGTTCAATATCCCGGATGAGAAGGACTGGCCATGGGTCCCAATTTACCAGAGGAAAATACTACCTCTAGCTTTGCAGGGGTCATATCCGGATCACGACAAAGGTCACTCTGCTGCTGGTACAACAAACAGATCTATTTCCGCACAACAACTCGCAAATCATCAACAAGGTCCGGAAAAGACGTTCACATGTAAAATGTGTCATCGCCCCTTCAAGGACGCGAAGAGTGCCTACTTTCATACGCACACCCACCTCAACTGGGACGAATTAGAACGGAAATCAATTTTCCACGCAAAGTGCGAACATTGCGACAAAATATTTTTAAATCGGAAAAACTTGCAACGACACATTAACGCTCACGAAGGTCGGAAATATCATTCTTGCTCAATTTGTGGGAAACCGTTCAGTACCGCGGACAGCGCGTTGGGTCACACGTTCTTCCACATGAACAAAGAAGAGTTGGCGAAGGCGAGAGAGACTTGGCGACACGGTTGCTTCATCTGCAACAAGCGATTCAGAACGTCGCCTCTCCTCCGGCGTCATGCCCGTTCACACGCTGAAGAGACGTACTTCCTCGACAAAGGACAGTTTGACGTAGGACTCGATGACTCAGACTCATTGCCAAAATCGTCAAAATCAACACATTTTTAATCATTGCTCAGCTCTGGGAATTTATCGTAAAATTCTGGACGACAAATTTGTAGTGAGTAACTTGATGAATAGAATTGCGGTAAGTTTTTTGAACTAGTTTCGCTGAGTTCCAATTTTTCTGAAGGCTTCTTAAGCTTGAGATCTCCCCCTTCAAAACCTGTCAAAATCTGGAGTGTATATTTTTTTTAATTGGCAACGACCTAAAAATTGGTATGCAGAATTGTAAATTACTAGAGCGGAGAAATAATTAAAAATGTGTTGATTTTAACGAGTTTGGAGGAGTCATCGAGTCCTACTTAACAAATTTAATGGTCAGCTAAACTACCTCCAAGGAGCAAATCTCGAACCGGTCAAATACTTAGAGGAGTCTTTCTCACACATCAATTACTTGACCACCCATGCCAAGATTATCCAAAAGGTCAAAGCTGTCACCTGTGCCAAGTGTGGCAAGAAGTTCAATTCAAACAGTGCCATGGTTCTGCATCTGAACGGTGTCCATTTAAAATTGCGTCATCCGTGCCCCCAATGCGGAAAAAGCTTCACTCAAAAGGGAAATCTGGGGTCACATTTGAAGAGATTTCATCCCATGGAGCGATTTGAAAATATTCAATTCTAATTCTTCCTGATTCCCAATTCAAATTGATTTCATGCCAATTCGCAAGTATAAATACATGCAAATGTATGGTTAAGTTAATAGTACATAGATACTCTTAATTGTTACATAGAACTATATAGTTAAATGTAGCAATCTAATGTAACCTACATAGATTTATAGTAAATCTAGTTTGTTTTATAAAAATTGCGATTAAAAAATTGCAGTTTACTAATTAAAGAAAACCTTGAGGCTGTATATGCAATGCATATTATGCACGCTGTGATTTGTTATTTCAATTAGTTTTAGTTAAGATCGCATAGTATTTATGTACCGTGAACATCATGTTAAATAAAGGGTTTTATTTAATTCCCAAAACAATGATTTAAAAAAATACTCCTGAATTTTTGGGTAGGACTTATTAATTAGTACTTGTTTTTTTTCATAGACATATGAAAATTTAACATTTTACCCAGCCATTTCGATCTGCATACTGATGCCGGCGTATAAAACCACCTTCACGATTATGGAATACTATTGTCATTATTTTTTCAAATAAATGTTCTCATAATTTCAACATGAATTTTTTTCTCATACAACGAGCAGTTTTTTTGCAGAAACTGGAGCATGCTTATTTGCCCCGATTTTCCACCGATCGCGGTAAGAGTTGCTGCAGCTGGAAAGTGAAAGCCCAGCAGAAGAGGCAACTCCTCCTCCTCCTCCTCCACCGATCCACACCCACCAATAACATCGAGGTACACACTCTCATCTTGACCTCTGACCCCTGTGACCTTGCCTATTTCTAATCTCCCCTCTCTCTATTTATTCCAGATGTTGCGTGGGTTGTACGAGTTTCGCCCCATCAACGACAAAACACTCGGTTTTCGGAGTCACGACCTCCTCCTCTTTCTCGAACCACACGCCCGAGATAAGAACTGGCTGCGGGTCGCGGACGCTCACGGGCACGTCGGCTTCGTCCCCATCAACTTTATCCACGTCTTCAAAGAGACCACGTCCGAAGGCCTGCTCGCCTTTTTGGATGAAGCAATACGACGAGCGAGACGTGACCATTTGCCAACTTTGGAGCTACTTTGTGCCGTCAGACAGAACATTGTTACGTCGCCATATACGACGGAAGAACATGTGAAACAGATTGATAGAGAAGTAGCCCAATTGAGGGAGAAAGCGGCAGAGGGGACAAACTATGACGATGGGCATAAGGTAATGATGCGGAACAAGCTCATTTGCATGATTAATTCTCTCCCGTGGCCTATATAAATGTGGTGTGATCTAATTTTCTGTCATTTATTGAGCAGAGGCAAGTATCTCCACGGGACAGGGGAGATCATCACCAGCAGCAACAAATTCTACCCCCAGCAAGGTCACCGGGTCGGCCGAAACAGGGCGATTTCATTTCTACCCCGTCAGGCAGGATGGAGCAGCAGCATCATGTTTCCAGCGGGGGCGATATTGCATTCCCCCCAGGAAGCGAGAGGTCAAAGAAGAAGGAAAAGAGTAGTCGGAAACCACACCCTCCTCCTGCTGAACCGTATCAGGATGACGTTGTACAATACTCACAACTTCAGGTGATCATTTTATAAGTACAAATACTAATGAATGGAAATCTCCCAGCGTATGCTCTTAGATTTTGACTAAACTAGTGTCAATTTTCATATTAATCAAATTTGTGATCAATTAACATAAATTTGGCCAAAATTGGAGGACCTGGAAGACCTCCATTGTTAGCTGCGCATCATTACGATCTGCTGGTAATAAGCATTGTAAATTTTATTAACAGGTTATCCACCCACACACCATCATGCCGCAGCAAGTGGGAATCATAAACAATTCCGACCTGGTGGCGGAGTACGTACGAAGTACGGTCTGTGTTGGACCCCACTTGGGAGGATCGCACGACTTGACGGGTCACCGAGCAGAGGGCAACAACCATGACCTCTTCCCCAACATGGGCCTACTTCAGGAGCCGCCTCCTTATTGTGATCATGATTGTGGTTGTGGAAAGCCGAGACGTCCCCCTGGCAGGAGATTCAGTCAGGACGATTTAATAGCTCCATTTAATGGAAGTCTTCTTGGGGCCGAGTTGGTCGACATTGTCAGGAATGCGACCGGATTGAGCCATAAACTTAGTCAAGATGCTACTGAAGCTGTGCTAAATTTCGTGATTGTAAGAATGAAAACATTTAAATGTATGATGTATGTAGAGATGAGACATAAAATGAGAAACTTTTCATAGGAAACGTTCCGACGTGACGAGTGGGACAAAGTGGGACTACTTCTGAGCCACTTGGAGGTCACTCCACGCGCTGTGAGCCAAGAATTGGGAATAATTGCAGTGAGTCCAGATGCCAAAACGATTCGGACCATATTCAATCGATTGACGCAGTGCAAAGAAGATGAGCAGCAAAGGAGTTGGGCCTTGCATGAGGATGAATCCATGATTTTGGATAACTTGAGAAAACTTAATAAAATTTTGGTATGCAAGTGCAAAACTTCCTCTTTTAACCATGTTATTAGTTTTCAATTTGTTTAATGATTTTTAGAATGATGCGGACCCCAGCATTTCCAAATTCGTGATGGAATCAGATCAATATCGAAGTGTTAATGCACTCGTGTTGTACTACCAGATGGAAACGCGTTGGTCAATTCGAACCAAGTTAGTGGGTTGTTTTAAAGCAATGTGTTGCATTGATGAGAAAGCACATTCCGTTCTCCTTAATTCCATCCTGCCTATGGAGCTGGCAAGGTGAGATATTATTGCATCTTGATTACTCATAAACGTCATAAAACTAAATGCATTTATATCCTTAATTCAGAGAAATGCGAGAAAACAAAGACAATGCGGACAGGATGCGAATGTGTGCTGACCTACTCGTGATTCTCCTCAGTTCTGGAGAACCCATTCCTATAACACATTACGGTAAGTCGAGAGAGAGAGAGAAATCTCGTAAATACTTTAATCATTAATAATTAATCACCTTTCATCATTCTTCCATAATCTACACTTTTCGTCTGTAGACTACTTGGACTCGTTTTTTCTTGATTTTGTTTTCGAAACCATTGAAAACCCTCCAAACCAAGATGAGAAGATTACAGACTGCATGGTGAGTTGGATAACATCAAATGTTTATTCTATTTGATAAGAAATAGAACGACTTGAATAGTAATTGATTTTTTGGTGTGTCCAGGTTGGTTGTCTGTTTGCCTATAATCTCCAATTTTTCGGAGAAAAGGACAACTTGATTATCGCCACGTTGGAGAGGCGTCACAATGCGAACGTATTTACGCAAAAAGTCATTTACTTTTTGAACCGTGGAGGTAATTTCATTTCTGCCCTGTTTAAGATAATTTTCCACTAAAAATACAACCAATTTGCATACAGTTGACCCCGTTGATCTCCTCGCACATAAGAGGAGCATTCCAAACTCGGTTCTAAAACTTACCACGGACATCTTCACCTCGAAACGAGGAGCAGATTTGTTTTATACAAACGACATCAAAGTATTGATCGATATTGTGACGAGATGTGTTACAGATCTTTCTGCTGGTGACGAGGTAAATCAACTTGTGGAATTAATGGACTCGAACTAAGATTAATTAACGTTCTAATTATTCTTCAGACGCGAACCTCCTACCTCAAGTTGATTCAAGTGATAATACGAAATTCCAACTTTATCGAGCACAAACATCGTCACGATGACTTGGTCCACTGCTTCTCATCCATTATTCAAGAGGAGGAAGAAGTATCTCGACGAGATCAGTCCATCGTCAAAGGAATCGTGACCGAGTTTCCAACCCTGTTTGGACTGCCGTGCTAGATGTCAAACGAACTAAAATTGATGCCTCCTCTCCACCCATCCAACAATTCGTTGCTACTCATTAATTAATAGTCAGTCCTTAAAGTAGGAATCAATAACTCATTGCCAAAATCGTCGTCGAATCGTCAAAACAAATTTTATCGACAAATTAGTTGTCAGTAAGGCGATTAATAGAATTTTTTAAGCCAGCTTTGATGAGTTCCAATTTTTCTAAAGGCTTCTTAAACTTGAGATCTCCCCCTTCAAAAACTATCAAAATCTGGAGTGTATATTTCTTTAAACAATTGGCAAAGACTTGCTGTACACATTAGTCGCCCAGAATTTTAAAATAAATTCCCAGAAATGGTTACAAATGTATTGATTTTTACGATTGTGGCAATGGGTCTTTGAGTAATTATAGTAAGTTGTTGCTACTGATATTTAGTGTGACGTCGAATGTAGAGATTATGACGATAGCCACAGCTACATACGTAGACGTACTATTTCCAGTTTTCTAGTGATTACTATCGTCACCACATTACCATAATATTTATAAATATGTACCCTACATTAGAGTTTTAATGTGATGATGATGATGCTTTTTGTTAAGCATGAATGTCACCCTGTGATTATATTTGACTCCTCTGCAATTTATTTAATTTAAATGCACAACTTTAATATAATGTTTTTCGTTGTCCAGTTGAAAATTGCATATATATTCATTTCTTACAATGGACGTCGCCCAACGTATGCTCTCCGAGGTTGAGAAAACTAGTCATCGACTCATCGATCACAAATTCGACTAATATGAAATTTGCAAAAGACGCGATCTCCTAACGCTGAGGTTTGACAGATAAATTAGCATCCAAAGAAGAGAAAGTGCGCCCTAAAGTTAGCAAATTTTACACTTCCCAAATTTACTGCGCGTTTTCTCCTCTTCAGATGCAAATATCTCTGCCCAACGTGCCAATTGGGAGATCACAAATTCACAAATTTCATATTAATTAGATTTGTAATCACCAATTTTCTCAAAATCGGAGAACACACGCTGGGAGACCTTCATTGTTAGTTTAAGGCGAAAACGTATATAAACGTGAACATCGAACTAGTCCTAGATCGCACTGTGTGTATAAACAAGCCATGTTGTTATACCAGCTCAAACTCAACTAAATTATGTAACTTTAGAGTATAAACAAGGTTGAAATTATGTGAAAAACGAACTGTGTGCCATAAAATTGCCCACAATAATCTCTCAATTTCACCATTACTACTACCAACTATAAAACCCAACTAATATTCCTAGTCCTTACTTACATATAAGTTATTACATAAAGATTGTTGCACCAAAAGTTGCTTAAGAAGAAAATGATGCACATTTTATAAACACAGTATTATAAAATACTCCTCAATTAACTGCTAAATATTTATTGTTATGCAATTCCTCTTCCTCAGTAGTAATAAAACAAAATAAAAATCTGACAGAGTTGATAAGCCAAATAGGGCAAGACTGCATGGTGAGTAATCAATTACATAAGTCGTAAAGATGAACAATAAGGCTGAGCAGTAGCGTAAATTACTAAAATTCCTTCCCAATCTTCTTCATTTTTCATCCTTCGGAAGTTGTGCAGCTATCTTGTTCGCCAATTGGGCCGCGTTATGGGTCATGGCATCTGATAAGATACATCATATATTTGAGTATATTCCGTAATCAAACCTTATCTGCTCATGTGCTAACAAGGGATGACCAAAATACTTTGTCGCAATACAGCATTTTGATCTCCCTTCTTCCCAGGGTTTGGATTTCCAGGGGAGTTGCACCCACAAAAAGACGAAAGTTTACGTGGAGAAGACAACAGTCATACGAAAATACAGATTTTGATACCGGTTTTCTTTACAAATCATGTATTTTTGTATGACTGCTGTCTTCTCCACGTAGATTTTCGTGTTTTTGTGGGTGCAACAACCCCAGAAATCCATACCTTGGGAAGAACAGTGCCCAAAATACGGTATTTTAACAAAGTTTTTGGTCATCCCTGGACTACTAACCGGAATGATCCTGCAATTCCTGCAACTTTTCGCCACGTTCCGCCATTTTCTCCATGTTTTCGACCATCTTCTCCTTCACGTCGTCCACCTGACCCAGAAGTCCCATCAGGTTGTCGTGAGCTAATTCTCTCTGCTGTTTCACGTCGTCCGATTCCGCTTGCGCTGCAGCTTGTGACGATGACCTAAATATTTCAGACAGGTCAATTTTTAAGGGCATACTGTACCATTTAATCAATTAACACAGATTTGATGGGGTTCTTACATGATTAAAATTAAGCTGAATTCTCGACTGACTGTGTTTGGCGAAAGTGTCGTTGGTTTTGGGAGGGAACAGGAAATTGTGTACGAGGAGAATTACATGCACTTCAGAAAATCAATACTTCACATAGCGCAGCAGCACCGCAACGCACCGTTTTCCGAATATGTGTCGAATGCTTATGCAGAAGACCAAGAATGGTGGGCATTAAGAGAATGAACAATCCGACCTGAGGAGTGAACTGTGTGGTGATAAGAACAAATCCCAAATTTTACAAACTTTTACAATATAAAAAGACGCCACCACCCTTAATCTAAGTAAATTTATAAAAAAAAATTGTAAGCTAACTTCTCTTCGAAATATGAGTAAAATTTGGTCAGAGTTTGTAAATTTACAGAATTTCCGTATTTATTTCACGATGTTACCAAAGCCTGCATGAATTGGCACCTCTAGTTCTAGTATGAAAATGAATCAAAGTTTTGCATGCTTTTGTAGATGCGCTTTAATTCTCATTCACTTTATTCATGAAAGAAGTGTAACTTTTCTCTCTTTAAATCAAGCATGAAATAAATTTTGTTAGACGGAAACTGCATAAAAAACTTATAAAAACTACATATCAAAGTATTGGAAAGTGTGGTTTCAGCGAAATTTGTATAATCAAATATTGAACAATGAATACATAGGTCGTCTCACAAGAATTTGGACATTACCAACTAACTATTTATACTTAGGACTTAGCGAAGCATTATTTGATTTTGCAATTATTTTGCAAATAGTAACAAAATGAAAAATAATGTAAAATAATTGCAATTCATATTCTAAGATGACAAGAGTGCATATCCTGGTGCATACAAGTTTAAGGTGAAAGGTTAATTTAAGGTCCGTATAGGAGAAAAAGACGCCGCCCTCGGGTGGACTTGAATTATGCTGGAAAATTGTCGAAAGTTACGACGGCACTCGGAAGCACTATCTCATCACGTCTGTCGAAAGTTGCTCCTATTCCTCCATCAACAAATCCATCCTACAAATATTTACATACGTCACGATTCATCAGTATTTTACATCGGAGCAAATTTATAAATTAATTAGGGATAACTAACAATGCCTTGACATAATAAATTCTAACCAAGATCAGTTTAACTTACCAAAGCATGTCGCCCACTCAGCGGCCTAAAAATCGTTAAATAAAGTCAAAGTTTACAAAATTCGATAAAAATTAAGGGTCTCATAGTTTTGTAACAATTTGGCAACTCATGCATAATGTTTGCAATTTAGAAACATAGCTATCTTTTTAATTCGAAATATTTCACTCTGACCGAGCCAAGTATTTATTTCAACGACATTCTAATCCAGGATTGCTGAGGATTAGTAATCCTTAACAATATGAAGGAAATACGAGACAAAAAATATTTACCGTACTAATTTATTATACATAAATTCAATGGAATTCAATTTACTGCACTTATTGCTATATTATTTTCTCCGAAATGAATACGTACATATTTGCATCCGAAAAGGGGAAAATGCTTTCTAAAGTTGACAAATTTTATACTTTCTAAATTTACTATGCGAGTTTCCTCCTCTTGGGAGATCGTGTCTTTCTCAAATTTCATACTAATTAAATTTGTTATCGACTGGCACTCATTTTTTCAAAATCGGTGAGCATCTGCGAGTAATACAACATGGAGGTCTCGCATGGAGGTCTCGTCGAGACTTGGTAAAGACCACGTCGCTACAACTTACTTGATTCCTGGGTGACCATTACGCGGTTGAAGACGACGTATTAAATCTATAATCCCATCTCTAAGTTCTTCAAGTCTGCGATTTTGAGAGGGAGCATTAAGCTGCAAATAAGTTATTAGGACAATTAGGACATGCAGTCGAATAAGGAGTTAAAAAAGAATTACATCAAGCTCCACAGACCGCGGACCAAAGGCGTCTGAATTTCCAGCACCACTTCTACCTCCAATAAAACTGCCACAAAGTTTAATTATATATTCAGCTTGATTTAGATTTTAACTAGTAAATCATCGTGTTTTGTGGGAAAGATTATTTATACATATGCAATTCGATTTTGATGAAACCACAATAATTATGTATGCAGCCTTACGTATATAAATGTGTTTAAGGATTTTTTTAATGCTCAGCTTAAACGAAATTATGATGGAATCCGTACGCGAGGATTTGCATTTACCTGGTGAGCGAGCGATCGTATTTAATTATTTACGTAATGCTGCATAGATAATTACTGTCAACTGTGTGTGGTTTCATCAAAATCTAATATCGAACTAACGATGCAGATCTCCCAGCGTATGCACTCCGATTTTGGCCAAATTAGTGTCAATCGATAATAAATTTAATTAGTATGCAATTTATCACAGACACGATCTGCCAATGCGCAAGTTTGGCACAGATATTTGCATTCGAAGAGGAAAAATCGCGTCGTAAAGTTGAAAATTCCACACTTTCCAAATTTACTGCGCGTTTTCTCATCTTCAGAGGCAAATATTTCTGTCAAACGTGTCTATTGAAAATTTTACCCTAATTAAATTTGTGATCGATCGACACTAGCTTGCTCAAAATCGGAGACCTCAATTGAAAGATTAATTACTTCGATTTCTGGGCGGAGGAAGCATAATCCTTGGTATTGCCATCGTATACTGGACTTATTGGGTCAGAAGAGGAGGAATATGCAGCCTGTGCGTTTTATGAAACAGGGTCAAATTAAGGGTTACTTGAGCAGCTTCTGATTATATAAGGGGGTTAAAAATGACCATCGACTCACCTGAAGCTTGATGTGTAAACAATCAGCACTGAAAGAGAAAAGAAGTGAAAGTTGGATAAAGTGCATATGCATTTTCATTTGTTTAAATGTTTACATGGTTTTATAAACAGCAGCCGCGTTGGCGAGATTGGCCACGTATAAAAATTTCGGATGAGGAATGTTGTCTCCGTAGTTGTCGTCGGAAGTTGTGGGGACATAATTCGGACCGAAATATTCCGATGTTGGAAGCGGATGGTACGACAGGTCCGGGTAAGAGAGGTCTATTTGCTATTTAAAAAAAAAAGAATTTGAGAAATAATATTTATGAAAAATAACAATGCGGTTTAAAGATATACTATTTTCAATATATTTTGGCAGATTAAATATTAATTCCCTGTAATTTCCTACGATTGTATTGCCTTCTGCATGCAGATTTTCGTCTTTTTGTGGGTGTAACACCCCTAGAAATTCAAACCCTAGGAAAAACGAATCTCCAAATGATATATTTTAACCCATTAATTTTTTTAGGGTTGAAACCTTTAATTTTTCTCTGCTAAATTTGAGTGCATACTTGTATTACAGAATTATATATATTATGTTAGGCCTTTACCCTTGAATTTCTCGGACTCGGGTGGAACACTTGTTGCACCCCGTGACGGAGAACGGCCGTCTCACAAGACGAGAGCAGAGTGGCCACACCCATTGCTAAACACCACCACCACGTCATCATCCCCACCGAGAGCAGTCTGCTAAGATGATAAAACAAGCAAGAAATACAACAAAGTCGAGACACTGAGCAAAATGGAATTTCATTCGAGACTCCCAGCACTTTTATTAGCATTTCATGCCCCTACATGCAGGACATAATGTAAATATGTCGATGATTGAAGTAAGCATCTTTCTTAAACTATCTATAAGATTTTTGCAAGTATCCTGCATGCTTGATCATGTCAATAAAAGTCAGAATTGTTTAACCTCGTCTGCAAGAATTGGAAAACTTTAATGTGGACCATGCCTAAAAATTATTGTACACAAGCGAAACAAATTTGATGACTTGAGTGCATTCCTCCATGCAATAAAACAAGTTTAAAATATGCATTTATGAGGTCATCGGGTGGGTATGCGTAATGTGTCTCCCCATGTATGCAAGGAGACATAATATATGCGTAGGAAAGGTCAGTTGTCATATATGAAATCATTAACTTGCGTCAATGATGATCAATAAAAGAACAATTATATAAGTATTATAAGAATTTTTATGTCAATCGGAAAACTGAAAATCAACATTTAGACCATGTTGACATATTTAATCATTGTGCCAAAAATATGGTGAACCATTACATATTTTTCTTAACTACAGACGCAATGAAGTACTTTAAATATTCATTGGCCGTGGTTATGGGATGGGGTCTTCGGTGAGGTCAGTCGTTGTTCATAATTTCTAACGCTGCATGCATATTTTGCATAGAAAAAATGATACATTTCTCATCTGAATTTGCATAGCTAGTGGTCTGCTGGTTAGTGAAAGTCCTGCTGCTCTGCCTATGTAAATCTAGCTGAACTATGACACAACGTGCTCCTGGTCCCCCTCCATCTTCATCTTCACTTCTTTCTTTCTCTCCGTTCGCTCTCCTCAATCGGTCGAGTATCAATTGTTATCATTTACTAAAAAATATCTACCTCCCAATTTTGACAGAGGAATTGTCCAGCCAAGAAATATGGAGACTGTAGTTCAAGACATCTGGGAGAAGAAACGATGCCTCAAATCTCCTGACGAAAGGGTTGGAACAAAGCCCAAGGGATTCTTCTACTTTCCAAAATGGACGGTAAAGTCAATTAAAGAATAATTGATTGCTAAATTTTTCATAAGATAAATATTTATAACATTGTTTGTTATGATTCTTAGGCAACTGAATTGACAGATCTTGAACAGGAATTAAATGAGACGAAGAGCCTTTTGGCTAAGTACCCGTTGGACTCCAGGGAGAAACACATGAGGCAAATGAACAGGTCTGGTGGGGTGGTTCCAATGGTGAGGAAAGAGTTTCATCCCGAATTCTGCAACCAGGCCTGGTATGTGCAAAATAACCTCATAAAAGTGTTATTGTTAATATTGTAATCTCATTATTGATTTGAATTAATTCATTATTGTTGTAACCTCATGAAAGTAAATTATCCACCCTATTTTTTTCGATAGGTGCAAAATGTACGAGTGCCTCAGCACTTTTTCTCTGGTGCCTGAAAATATTATCAAGTATGCCGTCAAACCAGGAGGAAATGTGATTCCACAATTTCTCTCCATACATTTGTGTGAAGCCCCCGGTGGAGCCTTCGTGTCGGCAACAAATCACTACCTATCGACGAATTATCCTACCATTAAGGTAAATTATTCGATAAAATTCGTTTTCATACCAATTATGCTCATCAATACAAATTTTGCTATAAAGTGGGACTGGCTCGCGACCACCCTGAATCCAACCTACGAGGGAAATAGTGCTCGGACTGCGATGAATGCGGATAACTTGACATTTACGTCTTTGAATAACTGGATTTTTCTAAAAGATACGACGGGGAACATTATGAACAGGAAAAACTTCAACAGTCTGATTGAGGAAGTCCAAAGAAAATGTCAAAGTTTTCAACATCCAGTGGATTTGGTCACTGCGGATGGAAGCATTGATGTTCGGACGAATCCCATGGAACAAGAGAGCGCAACAGAAGAGCTACAATTTGTAGAAATGATTGCAGCCCTTTCAGTTTTGAGTCCTGGGGGAAGTTTTGTACTTAAAGTGACAAGCTTTTTAGACTGTCAATCAGTTTGTCAGTTGTATATTCTGTGCTCCTTGTTTGAAGAGGTGAGTAATTTTTGGAACAAGGTTCTTGGTTGGTAGTTAATATGACGAGAATAATTTTTCTGGTTCAGGTTTTTCTATTCAAACCAACCACGAGTAATGAGGACAATTCCGAAATTTACGCCGTTTGTTTGAAGTACAGTGGTCGTAGCCATTTTAGAACCCAATTGAAAATACTAGTTGAATTCGTGGGTAAGTTTTTGAACTAACAAAGGGGAGTTTAAATATTTCAATGTGTGATTATCGATTAGAGTATGAGAGTTCTTTAATTGTGTCACCACAGGGACAAACACGTCAATTTTGAGACAAAATGCTATGATAAGTCGCAACATATTATTTTTCAATAAATTTATGGACACTATTTTCGACGCGGCTTCGTTCTTCACCGGACTCCAAGTAATTAAACGATTCTAGTTTTATTGACTTATTGAAAGTTTCCATTGTTTAATAACTGATTGCATCATTTTGTTTCTTTTATGGATAGGTTGCCGCCATAAAACGCTATATCAAAACTTGGGAGGATAAAAAGGGATTATCTTTAGCCATCTATCTGCACGAGCTACTCCAACGCAAAATTGCTTTTAATTGGATTGATCAATGTGACATGAGGTCTCTCCCACACGACAAGTCTTTAATACCCTTCGTAAGCGTGCTTTCTTTTTGGCAATGACTTAAATAAAAAGTTTAGTGCACTGGTCAAATTCAAAATTATTGATATATCTCCCAGCAGCGTCATATTATTATGGAGATGGGTTACGAAGATAAACCTATATTGCATCAGTCGACAAGTTTATTTGAACAAATTGAAAAAATCCAACGACAAATAGAATATTATCATGGTTTTCAAAGTTGGTCATGGGAAGTGTCTGAAATATCGGTACGTAGTCTAATAATGGCATGAAATTAATTAGAAGCTTTACTTATTTATTATGTGAATGTCAATTTAGGGGTCGCTTTCACAACTCTCCCCTCTCGTGGGTCGTCGGTATAGCGAAATCTTAAGTTCTCGTTTCTGTTTGGGAAACATTCTTGACTTGCGAAGCAAATTGAGGGCAGCGGTCCGTCCCGTGCGGTCATTAATATGCTGCAAAATTTGGATGGCTGGGCGCAAGCAGTGTGATGCTTGTAATCGTGACCGTATTCGGTCTCATTTTTCAGGAGTATTAACTGACCTCCCTGTAAGTATCGTGTTTTGTGCCTGACATACTTACTAGACTTTAAAAAAATATATATTTTGTTTTGTTAGGATCTTTGCTCGGAAACAGACTGGGAATTTAGCTTGCTCTGTTGTGCAGAAACCGTTAACGACATCTTACACTTCTCTGATGCCCAAAGAATGAAAAATTGTCTTCTTAAATTGCTCCTGGCAATTACTGGACTTAAAGTTAACCAATCCTTGTTCCTCTGCACATTTCCACTCTTGTCGAGAATTCAACTCGGGTTCATTTATGCACTGAATTCGGTTTTCAGTATGGTAAATAGATAGCAAACAAAAATTTTTTATGGCAAGGACATTTTGTGCCTAATAACTTGTATTTATCGACTAATACAGGTTGTACTCAGCACAGGAGGGAACGTGTACTGTTCAGAGTACCCCCAAGGAATTCTCCTGCATCGATATAAAGGTATTAATTCCCCCCCCCCCGATCGAGAACTAATGATGGGATTGGCCCGTATTGTTATGAGTATGGATAACGACGACGAAGCAGGTTCTGGTGAAGCGATAGTGGAAATAGTACCAGCTAAGAACCTTATTGGTAATAAACACAAAGAGTTTTAAATCATTTCTAATTAAAATCGAGAGTTTAATCGTTAATCCGTGTTTGTTTGCAGAGCTTAGAAATTTTAAAGATATTTTCCACTACAACATGACCAACACTGCAAACGAATTGTGTCAAATTATAACGGAAACTAAAGATGTCATCAAACAGCCAGACGAATATGCAGAATAATAACAATATACAATTAGCCCCCATGCAAAATTGATGAACATCAAAAATATCTCGTTTTGTTATTTAGATTACTTACTGGAGTCGAAAACGTAATTTTTATGTTTGACAGTTGATTCGGCTTGATATGTGCTTGTGGTCTAATTTTATTTCATGATAGTAGTGATCTATATTCTTAACATTTTTATACCTTATCAGATTGGATGCATGTATTATTACGTTGTTTGCTTATATATTGTATGTATCCGTTTGTATTTATTTACTTGATTTTATTGCATGTTGTGTACGTAATCTTGTATAATTGCTTATATATGTATGTACATATGTATTTAGATAATTATATCTAACATGATGAGGTCAGTCATTGTTCAAGAGTTGCTTGACTTTTAAAAGCAACATACAAATTTGTAATTTATTAATATAATGTATGTACAGTAAAATGTGATGCATGAAACAAAGTGTTTTTTGTTTACTAAAGAATTGATTTATTGAAATTTTGTTTAATAGAAATATTAACTCAAAATATCAGCTCTCAAATGTCTCAAAATGGAGCAAACGAAATGGCCTGGTTGTAAAGGGGAAAATAAAATAGATTTTTGGCTTTATTTTTTAGCAACGGAATGAATAGGCGATGGACTCGTTACTCCCCTTTCCTTTGTCCGGCGCCGCCCCCAAAAGCCCCCACGGTGGGGTGAAATCCCTTTATGGAAATGTCTTATTTGTCCGATTGTCCGTCTGTACCCATGATAACGTTAGATTCGAATTTCGAGATGTGGTCATCACCAAGGTGTTTAGAATTTTTGAAGTACGGTCAAGTTCGGAGATGGGTGTTGAACGGCGTAAGGTCATCGCAGCACGGTGATGAGTGAGGTCAACAATTAAAAATTCATTCGATTTTCCACGTAATTTTTGTTGTCTTAATTTTTTCAATTTTTTACTTTTTAATTTTACACATCTACAAAACTCATACAAATTTCAAATATTAACAATCATTTTTACAATACTGGTTTTAAATAGTTAATTGCTCAAAATTTTTTAGGATAATTTGTGAACCCTATTTCTTACGGATTTTATGTACAAATCTGATTTTTATTTAGAAATGGGATTCGTTAGAATGAAAACTGTGATTTATTGAAGATGGGTGGAAACGCGTTTTGCGGATCGGCAAACAAATTACTCACGCCGTTGTTCAAACTTATGCTAATTTTATTCCTAGCCGTACTTTCTCCACGAGATTGTAAGGAATTGTCGGAACCCGGCCGGGAGGAATTTTTGGACGGCCTGCGAATATAAAATTCTCCCAGCATTAACGCAATTGCTAAGCTGAGGCCGAAAAGTAGGATCAAAAATGCCGTCCCCGTCTCGTACAGACTCATTCCGAGGAAGGATTCTCCAGAATTTGTGAAACACACGGATTCCGTACCCCACCATTTCAGAAATAATCGCCTCATCTGAAAAAAACGGAGGATTAAAATCAATTAGAGGTCGCAATAGAGGTATCCCAGAGCATGATCTCCGATTTTGACCAAATTGGTGTCAATCGATCTCAAATTTAATTATCTAATATTAAAGTAACAAAAGACACGATCTCCCAATTCGCACGTTCGATGCATCCGAAAAGGAGAAAACAACAAGTCAATTTCGTAAGTGTAAAACTTGTCGACTTTAGGACGCATTCTCTTCGGGCACAATTATCTCTGCCAAACGTGCCCATTCGGAGATCGTGTCTCTTCAAATTTCATACTAATTACATTTGTGATCGATTGACACTAGTTTGCTCAAAATCGGAATACGCTGGGAGAGCTCCATTGTTAGATCTCAGTCAGTTTAGTTTAATTCACATACTTGTCCACTTTGGCGAATTTCTGAAACTCTGAAAAAATAGAAAGGTTTTATTTCCCAAATCAGATAAGTTCAATAATAAGTTACGAAATTCTAATTATTTTCTCAAATTTATAATCCGGGAAGATACAATCAAAATTTGGAAAGCTAGAAAAATGTGGTGTGGTTGCAATATGCCGAATTTAGTGTGTTACCTTTGCGAAATTACGGGAGCGAAAGGTAAATGTTTCTGATAACCCATGTATCCAAAACCGGAAAAGTATTTATCAGGCAGCCACGTGTAGGAGCAGTTGGATCGAATCAGAAACGAGGGGATGAGCTCGCTCGTAAAAAATATGTACCGCTCCTTAAAGACTTTGTCCATCCCTTCCTGAAATGACTCCACGAGGGAGGAGGAGTCCTCAGCGATTCGATTGTATAACCCACGCAGCACTTCTACTTGCGATTCCTGGGAAAAATAGAAGAAACATTAAGCTATTTTTCAGATTTGTAGCAAATTTTGTAAGGTTTCCACGGTTACAAACTTTAATCGTGCTTTGGTCGGATTTATGAGTCACAAATTATGGCTGAGGCAATTCACACAGTCACTTGTAAAATCCATGCGTTTTGCAAAATAATTTTACAAACTTGTACAAAATAAGGAGACCTCCTTGATCTGAGGATGAGTAAGATCACAAAAATTTGTAATCTAATTTCACTTAAAAATTTGAGCAAACTTTATTAAAGTTTTTAAGTTTGCACACTCTCGGGATTTTACAAGGTTGCCAAGACCTGTGTGAATTTCCTCACTATTTTAAAAATTAAAAACACATTCTCCGGGTACTTGGCGTGAATTAAAACGATTCCTGTTGAGCACTTATAAATCACGTACCCAGAGATGATTAAATCCGTGATTACCGGATTAAAAATTGGGATTAAGGATGAATGACCATTAATGCTGTATCCAAACAAAACACTTTTATGCAATTAATGCTTAAATCATTAATCATTAATCCCACGAACTGAATTATTTAATCTAATCCCGGAATAACATTAATCCTTAACCCCATAAAAGATCCATTAATCACGCACGTACCCTAATCCTATCGATGAAGGCGGACCCCTTGACCAGACCGACTTTCCAGTTCCGATTCCTCACTGCTTGATAGAGCGAGCTGACCGGAAGTACTTCGTTGCTCGCGGCGAGAAATGCCGTTAGTCGTGCCGTGTAAGAGGCAAATACGACGACGGACAGGACCCAAAACGTCCCCATCACGAGACGGTATGGCGTCACTTTGATGTCCGAGTGCTCATCTTGACCTGGGTAAAGTATTAGCGTCAATCTTTATTTTAACGTGGGGTTCGATGACTTATCATCAAAATCAACACATTTTTAATCATTTCTCAGCTCTGGGAATTTATTGTAAAATTCTGGAAGACAAATTTGTAGTCAGTGAGTTGATTAATAAAATTTGGTAAGGTTTTTAATCCAGTTTCGATGAGTTCTAATTTTTCTGAAGGCTTCATAAACTTCAGATCTCCTTCAAAAACTCAAAATCTAGAGGTTATATTTTTTTTAAATTGGCAACAGCCTGCTCTACAAACTTGTCGTTCAGAATTTTTAAATAAATTCCCTGAGAGGAGAAATAATTAGAAATGTGCTAATTTTAGCGATTTTTGCGATGAGTCCTAACTTACCTAAATTTCAATAATTTTACTACCTTGCAAAATGAAGCACGACGTTAGAAGCCACGCCGACGTGAAGGGAGTTATTTTCAGGACTTTATAGTACGAAAAGATGGCCAGGGTGATGACCCCGAGGACCACAAAGATTGGAATTGTCACCCAAACGTCCCATTCTAGCGGACGGAGGTAAGCGGACCACTTCAGCTCAGCGTTCTGCCAGTCTCTCCGAATCAGGAGGCGAACCTTTGTATCATCATGACAATCCAATTATTGGCCACATTTCACAAGAATGAGTGAGGCAATTCACGCAGTCATTCGTAACTTCGTAAAGTCCTTGCGTTTTGTAAAATAATTTTGGAAACTATTTCAAAATAAAGAGACGCCCTTTATCTGAGCAAGTTTACAACAATTTAGGAGCTAATTTTCCGTAGAAATATTTCTAACTTTTTTGTCAATGTTTGTAAGTTTACAGAATTTACGGATTGCTGTGTAAATTGGATAAACACGAATGAATATTATATACCGAGCTGTATTCTACGGGTGGTGAGAAATCCATGACTTTCTGTCTCGCCGCCGTGAGACTGAAGGACATCATGGCAATGTCCGCTTCCTGTCGGATAATCATGGTAAATTTTAGTACGTGACGTTCATAAGTCGCAATTTTAAGTCCCTTTAGCTTCACGACACCCACCCTTGGGCGTCATTTTGCTTAATTTAACCCCCTGAATTTTCTGGACAAAATGCACTTCATCCTGATTTTGGGACATGTCAAAGGCACGTTTGCGTGGATGATGTGACACCAATTTCGCCCAGTTTAGTTCAACCACAGATATGATTATTTTATTTGGTTGATTTCACAACGTTTCGCCGGATCGATATCATTTCATTTCGTCTTTAGTAAGGTGACCCCCTGAATTTTCTGCTTCATTTCATCCTGATTTTGGGACAGTTTAAGTGCGTAGAAAGTTCGTCACCCACGTGACCGACGAAGTGACAAACTAAGGTCACGCGTGCACATTGGAAAAATTACGTATGCATCACTAAATATATTTACTGCTCACTTTCCTCTCCAGCATTCCCACCATGCCCGACCAGCTCCCGTTCGCTTCCAAATTCCCAAACTTATTGTCCGGCGGTGTCATTATTTCGTACCTGCAAATAATTTCAGCCCACTTATTTCTCACAATGAGAAGAAAAATACAATAAACTCCGTCAGCAAGAATAGAATACCCTTCGCTTACGTGAAATTGAGTTGGGCGCTAACAATTTTCAAAATATCGGGTAAATATCCGCTACTCCGGACTCCCCCTTTCGACGTCTTGGACACAAATACGACCGGGGGTCCCTGCAAAATTATGTTAGTTCATGAATGTTGGTATACATACTGAAATTCTTTTTATCGGATCGTGGGGAAATGATGTCTGTTTTAGCTAAATCTTTTGACTTGCAAGAAATTCAAGGTGCAAGAAAGTACACTTTACTTCATACGGCGCGTGGCTTGATGGCGCATATTTCTTGCACTTTCTCCCAGTTTCTTGCACCTCGCATTTCTTGCGTGGCTTGCTTTGCCGTGGAAAAAATGCAGCAAGCCCACAAGAATCGAAACACTGCTCGCTAATTTTTTCACATAAATATTTTTCTCTCACAGCCACCGTCGTAATCCTTAACATCCTCCCTTGAAAATCCACCGGTCCTAACGCGAGTTCCGTATCAATTCGAATCCTCTCCTCTGCATCCCACTTCCCCATAATTTGACTAATCGGTCCTGCCACCCCAGGAAAACCGTAGACATCCTCCAACATCAACGTCTTCCCGTCATCGTCACTCCTCCAAACCAGCGTCCACTTACAATTCCCTCCCGCCACGGGATGCACATTTTTCACCAACGTCTCCCTCCCACTTTCTCCACCACCCCCCAGCACCCAAACCGGTCTCGTGGGTCTCAACAAAGTCGGATTTAATCTCGTCGGCACTCCGCCCAAAAAAGTGAGCATGAAGATCGGGATGACCATCCGCCTCGAGGGCGTCAGTCCCCCCAACTTGGTCTGATTCGTGCCACACTCACTGCGCAAATTCGTCCTCGACTCGATCAGCATTTTACTCGCGTGCTGACAAAGTTCGGTGTCCTCCTCCCCGGGCAGAATCAGGTAGACCGTCGTCCACCCATTAAACATGGCGAGGTCGGCGATAAAGTCGAGGTGCAGGTCGACCTGGGTCATCATATCGGACATGGCACTTTTTACGACAGGTTTCAACTTCCAATTACTCGGGGTTAGGATTTGTCGCCGTGGTCGCGTCACATTTTGGAATGTTTTTCTTGGCTGGGGAGCATCTTTTGGGGTTAGAATCACCCAATTTTCGTTAACATCATCACACCCTACTTTGCCCGGAAGGAGGATAACTAGACCGACACAAATTGCAAAAACCATCAGGAACCACCATTTATTTTTCTCGGGGTGAAGAGAAGTGCGAATTTTTTGGTGAAACGTCATCACCTTCTCCACGTGGATGTTGAGATGAAGATGGAGCAGATTTTTTCGCATATTTGCACAAACTTAACCTTATTATGGGAAGAAGAGGTTATGTAATCATCTGCCAGTCTGAGTCATATTTTGCTTAACTTTTCTTCAGGACAATCAACTTCTGTCTGTAAAAGCATCCCGTGCAAAAAAACGGATGTGCTTTAGGGGCGCGATCAATCACCGCAATTTGCATGTCAAAAATTTGCAAAAAATTATCAACTCCAGACTTGCAGAAGGGATGCGATCTCCTTTGTGCAATTTTCATGCGGTCAAAAATCTGCAAAAAAAATCGATCCCATCCTTTTTTAACACTTCTTTTTTCACTATTTATTCCCCGAAAATTAAACACCTTCTATTTATTTACCCCTTTTTTCACCTCACCGAAGTGGAAGCCGCATTTCTCTGAATGCGAACCGTTTTTTATTACCCGTCTGTATTATCATTTCAAAAATGTGGAGCAAATCTGACAAGAATACGGTATTCATTCATATTAAAAATAGACTTGAGCGAGTTCAATAGTCAAATTCATAAATAATAAATATTCACAAAATTACAAAATCTGAGACGGTTTAACTAAACACTTCACTTTCACCACGACCGAAATTATGAGTCATTCCAAGAATCAAAGTAGTTTGAGGGAAAAGTGTTCAAAAACTTGTCTCCTTTTTTGAAGGAACGTCTTATTGTCCACGAGGGCAGAACAAGCCTGCAAAATTATGAGTCAAAATCACTCCAAGAATTAAAATTTGAGGGGAGAGAGAAAACTATTCAAAAACTTTTTGGAACATCTTAGTGTCCACGAGGGCAGAAAAAAACTGCAAAATTACGGATCAGAATCACTCCAAGAATCAAAATTTGAGGGGAAACTACTCGTCTTCTTTTTTGGAACGTCTTATTGTCCACGAGGACAGGACAAGACTGAGAAGAAAACTTGCATATTTTTTGGAGTGTGTGGTTTAGTTTCCCTTTTCACCATGGAAAAGCTACCCACGGATGAAACAACAATGCCCATGGTCGCTTTTTTTAACCATTTCTTCTTCTGCATAATAATTCCTGCATATTTTATGAAGCCCAGAGAGGTGAGAAGGGATATAATGCTGCTAATTCGGGGGGAAAATGACGCCTGAGAAATGGCCCGTTTGAGCAGGACAAGTAGAAAGGATGGCGGATAACCATTTATCGTCACGCTACTCTTATCAGGATGACGGTCCAAGTTGACGACATCCTTGGCGCACGACCGGACCCAGAATGTCAGGCAGGAGAAGAGGAGTTGACAAAGGAAAAAGTGGTGCAGGTGACGTCGTTGTGTTGCATTGTGTGTGTATCATATCACCTCAACCTCACGGTCTTCCATGTAATAAATGTCACGGTTTTGAGGTGAAATGATGATTGATTTCTGGTGATTGATCGAATCACTAGAAAACCACTACCAAAAAATATTGGGGGACGAAACAATGCATGAATTTACATATGTGGGAAAGTTGAGACGACGTGTCAATATTGGCTCAATAAGATTCCGATGCAGAGAGTGGGATGTGTGCATCGGGAATTTTGAGATTAACGTGTGGGGGCATGATGAGACTCCTGCCCACCCACCCACTTGTGACCCTTGAACCCCACCCACTACACACTTGCTCACAATTAGTGCATGGTCCCTACCTTAGTTATCCAATGGTTCATTTGTGTCCATGTTTATTCTACCAGTGTGTAATGCATAACGGGGAAGAAAGGTAAACAAGTGCCTGGTGAGAATCTCGTTCGAAATGTGGTTGCAATTATAGAACATGGCAAATATGTGTACGCAGAAAGTCGGTGAGTTCAGTTTCGCACAGGTGTGCAGACACGAATTGCGGACGTGACTTAAAAAAAGGTTCTCCGTAAATATTTCGCATTTATGTGCATACATATATTGTAACTTGCGCCAATGTTATACTTTAACCGTGGTGCAAGTTATAATAAACGCACAATTATTATCTCTAGAAAATTCTTTAAACAAATTTCCAGAAATTGTTAAATTTCTAAACTATTTAATTAATTTTTTTCCTCCTATATTTTGCACTCGGAAATTCTAAATTCTTCATGAAATTCTATCTTTTCTTGCACTTTATAAATTAAAGTGAAAAAACTTTATTCACCACAAGTTAATAAATGCATATTTTTCTTCTATTTATATTCTAAAATCTGTAAGCATTTTTTGTAAATATGTAAACTCTAAATGTATGAAATTCTCTGTCTTTTCTTGCAATTCATGAATGAAGGTATAAATAAGACTAGTTTATCTATGCCTTCTTCTTACACAACTATAAACAGCACATCCACACAAACATCTCTTCCTATCTCTCTCAATTTGTCTTTATGAATACACAAAAGTACGGCTATTTGCGTACGTAATGGCCCATATGCAACCACAAACGATGATGTAACTCTGCACTAAAAAGATAACTTACTTACCCAAAATGGAATTCAGTCATTAGTAAAACAATGGCGTGTTTAATTATGTAAATAAACTGTCTATTTTTTCAAATTGAATTTTCTCACATTTCATAAACATATTTATCACTTTACTTTTTCCAAGATTTATTTATTCCTATTTTTTTTACTAAATACATATTTTTATTCATTCATAACCCAACAAATGTTTCCTAAAAATTTCCTAAAATATTACACTGACTCGTATTTATTTTATTAATAATAATAAAACAATATTTTGCATATGCATAACTTTCCGAATCAGGACATTAATTATTTGACGGAAAAAATTGACAGATTTCACCACCTGGCGAAAACCATCATTAATGAATGATCTCTCACTTTACGAATATTTATAACAAAAAACACCTATTTACTCTATTAAACAGCATGATAAAGCAACTCCTGAATTTCAAATAGTTTGTAACAATGCACAATAACAATCAAAAAATTTCAGCCACAACAATCCATAAATATTAATATTTTGTAGATATACCGTGCAATATTTATTCGTTAGTTGTCACCTTATTTATGTATTTTATACGTATTTCACTTCCTCTCTCCATCCAGTCTAGTCGGAATAATGGTGAAATTTTACGTAAATAAATATGCAATCATAACAAATTTGCACCTTCTTCTTCCCCATCAAATATTCACCCCCACTAAGAAACATATCCTTAAAAAAATCTCACAATGTACATACGAAAGCAACAATGAGAAGAAGCTTATCTACACATTTCTTATTTAACATTCCAATTATCACGCACTCATCAATTTCCATTTCTCGCCGAGCAAACAAATCATATAAATGTAAACAAAAAAGACTTATTTATTACTCAACAGATGCGTTTAAGCGTAATAAATATGGACTCATTTTAAAAATTAATAATAATAAAAAAACATTTGTTCAAAATTTATTTATTTTTTTATTCTCACCTTAAAATTTAAATGTATGGCAGTCAAAAAATTTGAGGAATATGTCGATAATAATGATGGGAAAGTAATAAGAGGATCGTGCAGAAAAAGAAAATCGGTCAAGTCAATAATTCAATCAACACGACGATGATAAGTCAAGGTTATCAGTCCACTTATGTATTCGACTTAACTTTAATGTTTTAAATAGTCGGTACTTTACTTGGTTGGTGGATGCTTAAATCATAACAATTTCAAGAACTGGAACTAATTAAATGGTGACGTGTCAGTGCGTAGAACAAGATTTATGATCATCCTGTGTCGCCTCAGAAAAAAAATGCTCTCGGGGCCGTGCATACATTTGGTGGGATTTTGTTACCGTTGGGTAAAAACCGAGTGTATGCAGGGCCCCTTGTTACATACGTAACGAGATCTAACAAAAGTCAGTAGTCGCCTCATAATTATTTATGTATGTATTTACAAGTATTTCCAGTCTAATAAATTTTAACTCGTGACAGATTCAGTTTTATGTGGCAGACTTCACTTGGTAGTTAGTTTTCTATTCTTAAGGTTCTTCTCGCAGTATTATTTAAGTAGGAGTTGATGTGGAATTATTTTATGGCAGCAAAATTACAACAGTACTTTTTTTTCATACGTATTATGATGATATCATCGATGAGACGAAAGATTACTTTAAGGGGCTAATGTACACTGGGGTTGGGGCTGGAGTATATTTTACGTGAATTTCGAATCTGGTTATGAAAATGGTGTTGTTTTCACCAATTCGAATTAATTGAAAATTAAAAATGAAATTGATTATGTTTATTAAAAACACAAATTTTCAAACTCAATCAACTTTTCTTTTGCTGGATGAAACAAAAAGTTTACAAAAATATGAGCAGATAAAGAAAAATCAGGATTTCAAGGGGGTAGGGACCCAGATTTCGCTAATTTTAGCTAATTTCGCCTACCTCCTCCCCACCCACAAAATTTTCAGAAATATATACAACCTCATGAAAATATACTCCAACCCTAAACTTTCTTCTCCAACTACACCTTAAAGCTCTCTCTTCTTCTTCTTGCCCTAACAATAATAATATTCAGCTCGTTATACACATTTTTGTGACTAATAAATTGACACTTTTTAAATATAATCAGTGATTTCACACCCTAAAAATAAAACAAGACTCCGGAACGTACATATTTATGCATCGTGACCATGTCACCCTAATAATATTTCTTAAAAACTATTTAAATAAAAAGCCGGTCAAGAAATTATAAAAATTAGGAAATTTTCCCCTCCCTCCACTCCCCCACACTTACATAATGATCACCACGCGGTGAAGGAATACGATAATACCGAACAATTTGACCCCCCTCCAGATCGTCACTCCTCCTCCTCCTCCCGACGACGCATTCGTATCGACATGACTTTCATGATGACTTTGTCCCCCTAAGTTCTTCTTGTTCTCGGAAACCGTGGGGATCCTCTCCTTCGACTCGTGGTGACCATTCCCATGGGGACCGTTTCCATCGGACTGTAAATCTTTGTGATGGTCGTGGTGGTGACACTTGAAGTCGGCTGGGTTCAGTTTGATGACATGTTTCACCCCATCAAAGGCGAGGGTCGTGGTGGACTCTTCGCCTCCGCCTTCCGGGTCAAGGGTCACGTTGGAGGAGTAGAGCAGGTGGCGACCACGTCCAGAAGGGACGTACTTTGTCCCGTGTTGGGGTTCTGCGTGGTGGAACAGGTTGCACTCCAAGCGTTCCAATTCTGACTTGACGTATGCACTCGCAGTCTCCGCGTAGATCTTTTGCACCCACAAGATATCGCAGGAACAGGTGAAACGATTACCTGCACGAAATTAATTAATTAGTTAATTATTGAAAAAGCACGGTTGTTCAACTTAAAAAAATGCAATTCTAAATTTTCATGGTGCATAAACTGGATCAAAAAAGTATGAAACATTTTCATTTCGTAAATTCCCTTAAAAAAATTGAACGGCTTTTTCCTGTAGCAATTTAACCTACTTTTCTCAGAAAATCTACGCCAGCGATTTGTGCAGAAAACTGCAGAATTCTGCATACACCGTTCTGCAGAATGAAACCCATAGAAATTTTCTGCAGGATTGTGTACCAAAAATTAAGCAGAATACAATATGCATCCAGCTTTTCTCGATCACGGCAGAATTTGACACAGTTGACAGTGATTTCTACTCGGGTTCATAAGTTACAATTCGCCATCACGAAAAATTTTCTTAAAGAATCCGTACGATTTTTTAACCCACTAATAAAAAACTAAGCCTTCCACGATTGCGGTAGGTAAAAAGGTGAATAAATCTAGGGGCTAGATATCATAATTAAACATCACCCATATTTCACCCCCTGACTTATGTAACAACCTGACCAAAATTCATCTCCTCGTCGGGATTAGCTAAACAAAACGGGGATGAAAATTTGTCATTTTTTATGACTCGGATGTTATTATGTGAAGTGATGCCTGTTTTGTGTGTGCGAGGGGAGAAAGAAATCCCATTAATTCGAGGCTATGTACGCGACTAAATGATTTACGACAAGACGGCAGCTTTCTTTTTCCCAGTTAAAAAAATTGTTGGAATTTTCTCTCTAATAATAATATCCACCACGCGAAGGAAGAAGAAAAGAGACGTTTATTCAGTCGCTCAACGTCTCACGTACATATTTTTGAAAGACATTGTGAAAGGTGGAGGAATTTGGGTGAGGAGACGCTATATGAAAGACAATGGGCGTACTCACGTCTCATTTAGAAAATTTCGCAAAGTTTAAAAAAAATTGCGGATTTGATTCGCAAAATATGGTTCCGTACGTAAAACTATAAAATATTTCCGGGGATTTTCTGCAATTTCTATTCTTTTAATAGAGAGGAGGATGAGAAATAATTTTGCGAAATAAAAACATATCCTGGGTAAATTTGCGAACAAAAATCCCATACTTTTCCAGTAAAACTTTTGTGATATCAGGCAAAACTTGTTACGTTAGGTATTTGCGAGGGTTGTCGTGAGTACGCCCAAAGTTCTAAGCCTGAAAACGTAGTATACCCCTGATCAGTTCATCTAGTGTCTCGGGATTTGATCACTCTTTCATGACGGTGCATGTCAAAATAAAAATAAAAACGCGTCTGTCTGTCTTTCTCACCTTCCATCATAACTTGGAAGCTGGCATTTTTCAAGTTTCCCCAGATCGGTGTAACGAGGGCTTCTCCCACCCTCTCCAACTCGTTCGCCCTCACGTCCAACATGTACAGCGAGGTCATTCCGACGAACGTGGCGGCCTCCAGGGTCACAATCTTGTTCCCCTTCAGGTTCAGCCGCCCCAAAGCCGACAGCCCGTAGAAAGCTGTCCCGCTCACGGATCGGATCTGGTTGTCGTGCAAGTCCAACTCGTTCAGCGAGACCAAATCCGCAAACACGTGGTCGCCGAGGTACTCGATGGCGTTGTCCTGTAAAAAAAAGTGGTGCGAAAAATGTAAAGTACGAAATTTTACAAAACTTAGGAAAATTCAAAACATGCTTAAAACTTCGTTCCCTATTTATAAGAAATGCACCGAGTTTTCCCGAAACTTGTGGGAAAAATGTAAAGTACGAAATTATACGAAAATTAGAAAAATTCAAAACAAGCATAAAACATAGTCACTAATTTATAAAAAAGAACCATGTTTTCGCAAAACTGGCAAAAACATGTACATACAATGTAAAAAATTATGGCAAAAACTTCCCCAATTCTCTTAGTTGTTATTCCTACATCACGAGTTTTCATAAAACAAAATCAGCAAAATGCATTTTCGAAAAGAGGTTTAAATCGTTGTCACCAACTTATAAGGAACGGGCGCTCTTTTCACAAAACTTGTGCAAACACATGTACATAAAAGCTAACAAATTATGCAAAAAGAATTAACAAAAATTCCCCTCATTCTCTCACCTGTAATTCCAACCTCACCAATTTTCCCAACCCGGAAAACACCTCACGTGCAATAACCGTCAAGTTGTTCCTCTTCAAATCCAATTCCTCCAACGCCCCGAGCTCCACGAAGGCTCTATCATGCACCACCCGAATCTCGTTCCTATCCAGATAAAGACCCCCCAACTTCGGCAGCCCGAGAAACACGTGCCTATTAATTTCCTTCAGTAAATTGTCACTCAAACTGATCTTGGTCAGATTCTTCAGCCCAGAAAATGCAGCCCTGTCCAACTCCCGAATCCCATTGTCTTTCAACATGATTTCCGAGAGGGATCCCGACCTCCCGAAAACTTCGCTCGGGAGGACAACAATTTCTGCGTATTTCACCGAAAAATACGTCAGCTTCTTCAACGCGGTGAACATTTCTGGGGCTGGGAGGACCTTCAGAGAACGTGCTGGACGAGGGGTCACCTCGAGAAACGTGACATTCGCCAGCGTCCCCATGGTGGACCACAACCTCGCGCCAGACGAGGGGCTCGGCGTCCCCCAGAAGTTGCACTTCAACGTGACCACCTCCTCCGAGTCGTCCGGGTCGCAGGTGCAGTAGCCCGAAACGGTCTGGTCGGTTATCGAACACACGTCCAGATCCTCGGCTGCTCCCGCCGTCGTCGTCGAGATAAGCAGTGATAACCAGAAGAAGAAGAACTGATTTGGCGACATTTTTGCAAAATTTTCACTCCAATTTTTGAATAATTTTCACTCCGAGAACACCTTTCCTGCCGCCGATTTACAAACTGGGCTTATCGTCCGATTCGACCCGGGGATATATATTCACTCGCTCAGAATTACGTCCACCGCCCCCTGATTCTTATTCTTCTTCACCGTCCAGGAGGAGGAGGAGCAGGAGCAAATAAACCAAGACGACGACCTGCACATTAAACAGCAAAATAAACATGGTGCTCACTCTAACCTCCACATTTCATGGCATCGAGCAACAAAGTCAACACATCTCTCCCACTCGCAGACAATGAGAAACTCGCAAAAATTATTGTTTCGTTTTAAACTCTGTTTTCATTAGAAAACGTTAAAAGTAAAACTGCTACACGGGTTTTATTACGGGTTACATCACGTAAAATGAATTTCCACGCTGGCTTCTGCTCGTGTAAATTATGTCATTAATTGTGCGTGGTTGGTTCGTGTGGGTGGTTTGGTTGGGGCTTTGGTTTCTTTTTTGTGATGGTTTTTCGAATTTTTTTCCTGCTTTCTTCCAACGACCACGGGTAATTGTTTGTTCAGGAAAGGAGTGTAAAATGAAAAAAATAATGTCTGTGAAATGGGACCGACCAGTCACATGCAAGCAGAGATTTGCAGAGCGTATGTATTTTTCAAAGTCGTAAAATAAGATGTAAAAATCACCCACGACACGATAGATAAAAGTAAAATGCGTGTTGGACAGTTAAAAAATTGTAATTATTCTCTATCTGCACGTTTTCATTATAAATACATTCGAGGAAGTGTGTATTTTCACGGGTGGTGGTGGTGCTGCCCAGAAGACGGACCTGGGTTCCAGGCAGTTTATTTAGTAAACAATTTTGTCCAAGGTGTCACAATTGGCGTCGTCTTAAAGCTAGAATGTCTTAACAGTTGTGTTAAATGTAGAATGAAATCGTTTCGTCCAACAAATTGTCACAGTATTCACGGCACGAATGAAATTGACGGGGACAAATTTGAGAGACCAAGTCAAATACTTAGTCACGGACAAAACTCCGCGAAATTGGCGTCACATTACAGACAAAGACGTCCCCTTAAAGAGTATTTCACCCCATTGAGGTGTCTCAAAATCAAAATGAAGTGCATTTCGTCCAGAAAAAGGCACCACGACACAATTAGAATTAACCGGACGAAATTTTACAAAATAACATAATTCTGTCCATCAGCGGAAACAAAAAACTGGGCAAAATTGATTTTACTTCTTCCCTTTGCCTAATTAACACATTTCAAAATTAGAATGAAATCAATTTCATACCAGAAAAACCTGGTAATAAAATTGGCTAATAAATTTGGGACCAGCGAAACCCTACTTTCTCGTGACGTTATTTAAGCAGCATCCTCACCACCACGACCAGTAATATCTATTAGCCATGCATATTGCCACATAAAAAAGTTATTTCTTCACACCAATTTGTCAATGTACGTATAGATTTGCAGTTCTGTGTCCAACGTTTATTACGTATGCATCGGGTACACGGACCGTCCGTATCAAGTTTCTTAGACATTTTGCAAGGTATCAATAACACTAAATTCTCAGAAATGGGCAGTCTGCCCAAAATAAATCCATCCGTTTTTATTTACAGACTACAAAAACCATTAATAATTTTATTTCAGTATCAATTAGTTTAGTAAATAATTTCTTTCCCACGAAACGAAACCAACGAATAAATCTTCATGAAGAGAAAGAACAATGGAATTTTATTGCACATGCAAAAATAAAAAATCGTGTTTTCTAAAGTGTCAAATTCAACTTTGTGTCCTCCTTTTTCAAACAGTGGGATTAAAGTAGACGAGAAAAAAGGGAGAATGTCAATCGACGAGACAGAATGACGACGACGAACTTATGCAACCCATTACTAACGAGGATACATAGGGTTTCGATGGATTGGTTAAAACCAAATTTACCAGGGTGGTGGGGAAAGTGCATTTTACCCACTTTTTACCACCACTTAAAATAAGTAGCTGAAAAAGTGATAAAACCTGACTTTTCCCGTTTTTTCACCACCCACCCCAAATACATAGGTGGCAAACGAGGAAAATTGTGTCTTTCTCCCTCTTTTTACCACCATTCAAATAGATGAGAAATGGGGAATAGTCAGTGTGTCATTTCTTGCAGGTTTGTTACATTTCTTGCACTGCAAAGCAAGCCACGCAAGAAATGTGAGGTGAAAGAAACTGCAAGAAATATGCCACATCTAGCCAACCATTTCCCATTTTTCCCACAGTAAATCCCCCTTTTCCCAAACCCATCCTGCTCAAAATGTATTTCTTTCCACCGAAAAACGAAACCCATCCCCAACAATTGACGATGTGCAACAACACTTACATCACAAAATGCACCCGAGAAGCTTAACTGCATGCTTATCTCGTGTCGACACGACGTATCCAGAATTCCTTTCCCTCAAAATGAAGTGATCGCGACGTATCCACATTCTCTTCGTGTCATACGCAGAAAGAATGTCACCCTTCCCATCAAATTTCTACAGGGGACCTCAAAAGGCCCAAAAATCAACAGCATCCTTCATTCCCGACCCAGCTTCTTCTTCTTCAAATGCACTTTTGACTCTTCACAAAATTCCGAAGAATCAAAGGGCTCAGATAAATGGACCGTGAAGCAAAACGAGACGGATGCAGACCTGACAGTCGACTGAATCTTGTCGAACAAGAAGAATCAAAACTTACTCCAAAAAAATAAGTACGAAACAAAACTCGATTCCAGAGTTGGACAAAACTCTAACTTTTTCTACTTTTCATTTCTTCTTCTCGTAGTCTGAGATTCTCACTCAGACCACGTCACGTCACACACACGTCCATAAAAGAGGACGATTCAGCCAGCCAGTAGCATGTAAAAGGTAAATGAGACGTAGGAATAAATCTTTAAAAGAAAATCTACAAGAAAACAAGTGGCGTGTTGAAAAAGATGGAGAAAAACATTATGTAAGAATCAAATAGAAAGGATTGGCGTGGGAGTCGTGCGGGAAGGATGTCGCGCATTTTGAATTTATCGTGATGATAAAAATTCTACCATTTCTGGACATCCGAAAGTGTAAAGTTCTAGTAAAAGAACAAAAACCACACATGTTCGAAAATCGAAAATTCCCACATTTCCAAGTACTGCAGACGAGACTCTAATTCTGCGCAATTTTGTCTTAAATATTAACCAAACCTGTTCGGAAATCTACAACCCGAAAATTACCACATTTTCGAGATGAGATTCTGTTCAATTCCAACTTTTCCCCAGAGTATATATAAATATGCAAGATATTTTTCTGCTGAATTAATCATGCCAAACTTTTCTACCGAGTTCTGCACGTGTAAAAATGTACCAATTTTGGCACATATACAGGAACGAGGTCGCATCCCTTATGCCCGACCCCTCCCTGTTTTTCCTCCATTACTTCAACAACTACTGGCTGACTAGTGGTTCGTTCCTTTGGTTTCTTCTGTGTCTGACATGACATTGATTTCCAGCCCCAAATTTTCTACTCTGTCACAGAGAAAGAAATGCATTTTATGCATGTAACGAATCACGTCTTTCCTCTATGCACGTGGTCTAATTAGCCAAAAAACCACACCGAAATTGGCGCAATATATACGTATCAAAATCAAAGTGTCTGTCACGAGTAAAGTGCACATTGTCCCGAAAAAAACGTACTCCCACCGACGACAGTCATCCACTCCTCCTCCTGTTCAGAGGACAAAGACGAATTATTATAACCACACCTTGCAAATGTAACAACTCTTCCGTTCGGATACCGATGTCAGTCAGCTATTTGTGTGCAAGTCGTTACACTTGAACTTGATGAAATGTTAGTTTACATACTCTCACTCACGCTCATTTCGCAATGGGAGGCCCGTGCGTAAAGAGTGTCCCAGAAAATTGGCAATATTTGGCACAATGTCCTCCAGACGAGCAGTGATTGTACAAGTAACCGCATGCAAGAAAGCGGTTTTTTGTAGTTATTTTGGCCTACAAGAAATCCAAGGCGCTAGAAACTAAGAAATACTGTCCAGTTCTGGACAATTTTTCTCCCTTAACTTTTCTGCAAAGTGTAAACGTACAGGATATATTTCCTCGGAAGGAATTTTCTGCCCAGTTCTGGACGATTCCGCACAAAAATCTTCATACGGCTGGTCGATTTTCCGAGCAAAAATATATATCTGCCCAAAATCCATCCCGCACAGCCCCCTCGCATTCATCCGAGTGGGTGGAAATCGAATCAGATTTACATTACATCTCATTGATCATGAAAATTCCTCTGTAATTCGATCCAATAAAAGTTCATCATTCATTTTCTACCATCCATCCAATCCACCTACGCACGCAGTTCACAAGCTCCTTACCAACCAACGAATTACTTAAGCAGCCACATATGCAACAAATCTCCGTCTTGTACATAAAGTGAAATGGAAAACCAGTTGGAAGTTCGCAAATATGGCGATACATACTTCCAAGTCAGCGGAATGTGTGCGGATTACGGCAGAAAAAAGATGTCATCTCTTTTAAACCTCGCACTTGACATCGGAAAATGGATTATTTACGAGACGGATCAAATCAAAGTTAAGCACTTATCACACCCTTTTTGCAGACCCTCGTCCTCCTGGAATCTCATGAACACAAACCACAGTAAAATTGCGTTGACATCATGACACTTCTACCTAAACGTCTAGTTGCATCAGGAATGCGTAATTACAACGCATTCCTTAAAAACTGAGTCAATTTGCAAAAATTAGAATGCGTAATCATCACTCGTGTTTAAAAAATGTACCAATTTGCAAAAATTATTCAAAATAATGGCACACAAATTCCAAATGCATAATTTCTCCGTGATGTAATCAATCCTAGGTGTCCAATTCTGTCTCATTTTCTGGAAACTTTGCACATTTTTCTTAAACCCATCGATCAAAGATCAACGCCACTTCTTCATCACTTTGTTCAAATTGCCAGAGATCGACGCATGCAAAAATAATTAAATTCCTTCCCACGCCAAAAGGCGAAGTAAAGTTAACATTCCCAGGAAAATAAATCATTCACTAAACTCAACAGTTTAACGACTTTATAAAAAAGGAGCGAGCTTGATAATTCAATCCTTGCGTCGGTCGGTCGGTCAGTCAGTCAGTCATTTTTATGCTTTTAATGACTTTGTAAATATGTCA